GCTCTCCTACTCTGAGGACAACCGCCATGCGGGGCGGACTGGAGAGGTTCAGGACCCAGCTAAGGCTACAGAATATTCTCTAGTTTCCCTGCCTTTCCCTGGAGGGAACCTGCAGTCTTCGGCAGGGGCAGGGGCAGGGGCAGGGGCAGGGGCAGGGGTAGGAGCAGGGGCAGGGGCAGGGGTAAGGGAAGGGGCTGGCAGCCCCCTTGCCTGGTCCATGCTGGGAAGCCATATGCACTACTGCTGCTGCTGCTGCTTCTCAGCTTCATCCCATCTTCCTCATCCACCCTCCTTCCCCCAGTCCCACAGGTGCCTGGGCTGCAGGTCCCCAGCATGTGGTGTCCATCAGCTTTCCCTTGGCTGGTCCCGGTGGCTAAATCAGTTTTCATGAGTCTGACCCCTCATTCCAGCTTCTAGTATCTCTTGTCTTCTTTTCTATAATTTCTGTTCCAGGATGACGGGGCCTTAAAAAAGAAATCCCTGTCCTGAAATCCTAGTGGTGCTTTGGGTTGGAGTGAAATTAGATACTTGCATGTAATTCCATCATGTCAACCCGGAAACGAATACTATATGTCCGTTTACCTGCTGAGCATCTCCCCCATGAGAATGTAGGTTTTCTGTAGAATGACCGCAGGGATCTGTTGGGTTCATTTCATGCTTCCAACACCTCGACAGCGACCGGAACATAACACAATAATGACTGACCTGGAACGAGGGACATGACTGCATCCACAAAGGCACTTGAGAAATGACGACATAGCACATGCAGACTTGGCAGGGCTTAATACTGAGTTTTAACTATTTTGGACCATCTGTTGCCATGGAGAACATTACAGACACCCAAAGCCAAACTTGGAGAAGTTTTAAATGTACCTGTTTTAAATGAAAACTAATTTCCACATGTGGGTTGTACATTAATTCTGTTATTTTATAACTAGGAGCCCAGCTCGAGATCCAAAATCTCGCGGCGTCGCCCACCCTCAAGTTGCCGGCCGGCCCTGCCTTGCTCCCTGAGCCCACAGCAGCGTGGCCACTGCCAGTCTCGTCCCGCCTCCCCCTCCGGCCCTTGAAGCAGCCACGGCCGCTGATAACCAGGCCCTGCCCCAGTGCCAGTGTGCGGAGGCCCCTGCCACCCCGCTTCTGACGCTGTGCTTGCAACCTCCTCCTGTCCAGTGGACCCGTTATGGCATCCGGTTAATTAGCATATTTCTCTATTACATATAGATAGATAACAACCCAATCTCTTACATGGTAGACGTTCGTTTTATCAATCTAGAGAAATAATGATCTCAATGTGGTTGTGCCACATACTGGCTCAAGACATGTTCTGTTCAGAGGCCAGGCCCTGAGCAGCCAGGCCCAGAACAGCTCGCTCCTTACCTGCCCCTGCCCCACAGCTGCTTCTCAGACATGGCTGGAAACTTTCATGGGAACTTGAGTGTCTGCTGAATCAAGTGATGAAGGCTTAGATCTGGATGTGTTGAGTTAGTTTAGGACTGGGGTGTTGATCTGTGAGTGCCTTGGGTGGGGCCTGGATGAGGCTAGTTGACCTATTGGGAAATGTCTTTTGTGTGAAGTGTATCATTGGGCATGTGGAGGTATTATTGATATGAGAAAATGCTAAGTAACTGATTTACTATCTGAAAAGGGATTTACTATTGGGGAAATTGAGGGAAGAAGAGACTGAACATAAACTGCACCTATGGATGAGGACAATGGGGGATGGGGAGGGGGCAGAGGGTGGGGTGGGAGGAGGGGGGAAGAAATGAGGAACCTTTGTAATAATATGAACAATAAAGACTGATTAAAAAAAAAAAAAAAAAAGACATGTTCTGTTCAAATACAGTCCATCCTCAGGGCAGTCTGTAACCCAGCCGGCCATTCTCTCTGGATCTAAACCCGGAGCAACCCACCTGCCTGGCTCACCCGCGTCACATCTGAGGGCTCTAACTTCCAGGACTTGTTCTCTGTGGAAAACGCTATTCTTTTTCCTCCATCCAGACCCACCATAAACCGACCCAGACCCATCTTCCAACTCTCATCCCGCAGGGGAAAGCCCTTTTATTAGCGTGGATACAGTTTTTTGCCTCGTGGTAAGCACTATATTTGTATCCCACTCACCAATGGCCGGTATCCTGGCAACCAGGTCGCTCTCTGGTCCATTTACTCTCCGGCCGGAACACGCAGGCAGCATCACGTTTGTGATTAACTTGAATTAAACTACTGACCGGAGGCCCACACTTTATTTGCTTCTGTCCTATGGACACGAGGGTAATTGTACTTAGTGGTTTAGGTTTGTCGCAGATGTAATGGAAATGTTTATTGGCTCTTGACATTTTAACTCCTTCTCAAGGGAGATCTTTATTGTCCTCTGCCCTGGGAGTATGTTTGTTGTGAAATTATTACAAGGCAAAAAAGCTTAAAAAAAAAAAAAAAACTTGTGGCCCTGACCGATGTGGCTCAGTGGATAGAGCATCGGTCTGCAGACTGAAAGGTCCCGGGTTCGATTCCAGTCAAGGGCATGTACCTTGGTTGTGGGCACATCCCCAGTGGGGGGTGTGCAGGAGGCAGCTGATCGATGTTTCTCTCTCATTGATGTTTCTAACTCGCTCTCCCTCTCCCTTCCTCTCTGTAAAAAATCAATAAAATATATTTTAAGAAATTTGTCGAGAAAATATCTGATTTCAAAAAACCACTACAGCCCTAGCTGGTTTGGCTCAGTCAATAGGACTGGGGACTGAAGGGTCCCCGGTTCGATTCCAGTCAAGGGCACACGCCTGGTTATGGGCTCGATCGATCCCCAGTAGGGGGTGTGCATGAGGTAGTCAATCAACGATTCTCTCACATCATTGATGTTTCTATCTCTCCCTCTCCCTTTCTGAAATCAATAATAATACATTTTTTAAAAACACACCAAACTATTGGCACTTGAACAGTCTGCTAACAGCATATTATCTCCAGCACTTGGTACAAAGTGACAAGAGAAAAACATTCTCCCCTACTGAGATGTTCTGAATTAAGTTAAGGAGGGCCTGGCGGGGTGTGGCTCAGTGACTGAGCATTGACCTATGAACCATGAGGTCACAGTTGGATTTCCCAGCAGGTTCCCAGTGTGGGGTGTGCCGGAGGCAACCAGTCAATAATTTTCACTCATCGATGTTTCTTTCTCTCTTCTCTCCCTTTCCCTTCCTCTTTGAAACCAATAAAAACGTATTTTAAAAAAAATTATGGAGAGCTGAGTGAAAGGGACAGACAGCCTGTTAATAGTCGGCACCAGCTAACTAGACTGGCCCCATTCCTGAGTGTCGGTGGGCACTGTGGACGGACTGCAGGTGGCTATTTCCGCCATTATCCAAAGAGGGAACAGCCAGATGCCATCCAACCCTGGGAGCTCCCCCTTTTGTTTCCATGTGAACTTTCTAGACCGGCACCTACTGTCCACCCCAGTGGTCGGCAAACTGTGGCTCTGGAGCTACATGCAGCTCTTTGGCCCCTTGAGTTTTTAGCAAAGGCCAGCTTAGGAGTACCCTAATTAAGTTAATAAAAATGTACCTACCTATATAGTTTAAGTTTAAAAAATTTGGCGCTCCAAAGAAATTTCAATCGTTGTACTGTTGATAGTTGGTTCTGTGGACTAATGAGTTTGCCGACCACTGGCCCATCCCAAAGAGCAAATGCTTTCTGCGGACACTGCACCTCTCCTACCCGGTGCAAATTCCTTAAAAAATTTTTTAAAATTGATTTCAGAGAGGAAAGGAGAAGAGAAAAAGAGAACACCATGATGAGAGCATCATTGCCCGGCTGCGTCCTCACGCGGCAGCGGGATCCGGGCCACACCCTGGGCACTGCCCGGGGCCTGACCTGAACGACCGCGACCTCCTGGTTCACACCCCTGAGCCGCCGGCCTGCCAGGCCCCGGTCAGGCCTTCCTCAACCTTCATCTTCCTCCCAAAAACTGTTTCCGGAAAAGGGCCAGACCCCTCCGGGGCTGCCCGGGGCCTGTGGCCTGTCCCTCCGGGCGCCCTGCACCTGCTCAGACTCCAGGCCGGGCCTGGTCTCCCTTTCCCGCCGGAGGCGGCCGCAGCCGCGCTGGTCCCAGACGGCCGGCCGGGGTAACGTTTCTGTGCAGCAGAGGCAGAGGACAGTGAGGTGCTCAGCGCGTTAGCAATCATCGAAAACTACACGCCAGGGGCACGTTCAGCACACTTTTGGGTGAATGAACCTATAATGGTGCGATGGACGGTCTTCACGGTCTTGGGTTCCGAATTTTCTAGAAGGTGTCGTCGTCACCACTGAAGTTACTGTTAACACACAGGAAGGGCAGATCGAAGCCCTTCTGCAGGCCTCGCATAGGGGTGGGTCGGGGACACCGAGGCCGCTCACCCGGCCCCATCCTGGCCTTCCGGGGCGGGGCAGTCCCTCGGCCTCAGCGCGCAAAGATGGCGGCCTGCGCGCCCCGCCCTCTGCCCCTGGCGCCCGGCCGGGCCCGAGCGCTCCCGAGCGAACCCGAGCGCCCTCGGCCGGCCCTGAGCGCTCCCGAATGCCCCCGATTGTCCTCGGCCGGGCCCGAGCGCCCTCGAATGCTCCCGAGCGCCCTCGGCAGTGCCCGAGCGCCCCCGAATTCCCCCCGATTGTCCTCGGCCGGACCCGAGCGCCCCCGAACGCCCCCGAGCGCGCCCGAAGCCGCCGGGAGCCCGGGAGCGCGCGGGCGGGAACGCCCCGCCCCTCGCTGGGAGCGCCGGCGCCGGCGCGGGGAGGGCGGCCGGATATGAGTGGAGCGGCCATTTCCTGTTTCTCTGCAGTTTTCCCCAGCTTTGGGTGGTGGCCGCCGCTGGGCTTCGGCTTCGCGTTGGAGGAGGGCGAGGCGGCGTGGACAGCGGCCCCGGCACCCCGCGCCCCGCCGCCTGCAGCCGCGCGCCCGCCCGCCCGCCGCGCGCCGCGCCCGCCGCTTCCCTCCTCGCTCCCCGGCCGCCGCTGCCGCGGCCCCCCGAGCGGCCCAGATGCAGGCCATCAAGTGTGTGGTGGTGGGCGACGGGTGAGTGCGCGGCGGGCCGGGGCCGGGCCGGGCCGGGCCGGGGGGCCGGGGCGGGGCGGGCGCGGGGCCTGGGCTCCGGCCTGGGGGCGCGGGCCGCCTCCCCTGCCCGGACCCCGCGGCGCGGGCCTGTTCCGGCCCGTGCTCTCCTGTCGGTGGGGGAGGGATGGCGGCCGGCGGCCGGAGGGGAGAGCGGGCTCCGCCCTCCGCTTTCCCCGCGCCGCTGCCCGCCCGGCGCACAGCCGGCGGCGCCCCCACCGCCCCGCGGGCTGCGGCCGGTGCGTGGGCCGGTGGCCGCCCCTGAAACGGCCCCGGGGCCGCTGCTCCCGAACCCGGGCCTCCAGGGTCACCGCTGGGAGTAACCGGGCTGGTGGGGGCCCTGCCCGGGTTTACCGGGCGCCACGTCCGCCGCCTCAGGATGTGAGAAATGGTGCCCTGCTCTCCGCGGGGAGCTTTCCGGGCCGGTCGGCGAGGAGCGGGTGTGATTAAACGGTTTGTCTGGGTTTGTGTGTTCGGGTTGTGTGTGCTCTGGGTTGTGTGTGTCCTGGGTTGTGTGTGTCCTGGGTTGTGTGTGTCCTGGGTTGTGTGTGTCCTGGGTTGTGTGTGTCCTGGGTTGTGTGTGTCCTGGGTTGTGTGTGTGCTGGGTTGTGTGTGTGCTGGGTTGTGTGTGTGCTGGGTTGTGTGTGTTCTGGGTTGTGTGTGTCCTGGGTTGTGTGTGTGCTGGGTTGTGTGTGTTCGGGTTGTGTGTGTCCTGGGTTGTGTGTGTTCGGGTTGTGTGTGTCCTGGGTTGTGTGTGTCCTGGGTTGTGTGTGCTGGGTTGTGTGTGTGCTGGGTTGTGTGTGTGCTGGGTTGTGTGTGTTCGGGTTGTGTGTGTTGAGTGTGGAGCGGTCCCGTCGGGGGGAGCGGAGCCGGCGGCCCCGGGGCGGGAGGCCCGGGCTCCGGGCTTTTCTTTTCATCGCTGTGGTCACGGGCCGGGAACACAAGACTCGTCTTGTGCAGCCTTTTCTCATCGAGACAAGAATCCCAGTGTGATCCGAGCGGCAGCGGCGTCTCCGCAGCGAGCGGGGCTGCCCGCCGGTCCCTCCGGCCGGTCCCTCCCGCCCGGTCCCTCCAGCCCGGGGGTGGCCGGTCCCTCCCGCCCGCTCCCTCCAGCCCCGGGTGGCCGGTCCCTCCCGCCCGGTCCCTCCAGCCCGGTCCCCTCCAGCCCCGGGGGCGGCCGCTCCCTCCAGCCCCGGGGCGGCCGGTCCCTCCAGCCCCGGGGTGGCCGGTCCCTCCCGCCCGGTCCCTCCAGCCCGGTCCCCTCCAGCCCCGGGGCGGCCGGGCGGCCTCCAGACGCGGGCAAAGTCGAAGGAAGCTTTTCTGGCCTCGCTCTTCCTCTGGATGACGCTCCCGGCCTCGGCCTCGGGACCGGCCACGCTAGTTGCATTCCCAGCGCCTCTCGGTCATTGTTGTGGACATTTGATACTGTTTCTCTGAGGTTTTTTTTAAAAGTCCAATTGCTGATGTCAATATAGTGCCCCAGCGTGTCATTCCCATTTGAAAACGTGTCAGACTAAGCAGTCAGCGGCAGGTATGCTGTCCGCCTGTCACTCACAGGTAATCACTGCCGCCGGGGCGGCTGGCTCCTCCGAGGACTTGCCGAATGAATGAATGAATGAATGAATGAATGCCTCTTCGTAGGGGTCCGGGTCCTTGTCCCGAGGAGGAAGCCCTGGAGCTGTCACTCACCCCCCCAAGGGCGGGGCCGGGGGAAGTGGAGGTTAAGGCGGTGCTGGGTGTTAAGTGCCTCCGGGTGCTGAATGAGGGCCGCTGACCCAGCCCCTGTTCCCGATGCCCCAGGCTCTGGGAGGCCATGTGGGGCCTGAGACCCAGTGCCCGGCCCTGGGTGTCTGAGGTTTTTAAATTCTGCGTTCGGCGTGGATGCTGAGGGCTGAGAGACAGCAGGAGGGGAGGGTACCTTCCCAAAACCTGAAGCTGTGCTTATGGTTTAGTGGATCTTCCTTCCGTACAAAACTTAGACACCAGTTTCCCATGCCCACAGTGTTCCCTGCTTTTCCCGATGACACATGTTCCTGGTGATAAAGTTGGAATGTCTTTTAGTCACAGTGGGTAAAGCCCCAAGTGTGGGTCTGCGCTCACGGAGCTGAGGAGTCTGTGGAGTTTCAAGCAATCAGGGCAAACGGGTCCCACACGCCTCAAGCTCCCACTTTTCGGCGTGTTCTCGGGAATTCTGGTTAAAAGCTAAGTCATAGCCGTGGTGTTTTGTTTGCTTTTATTTTTATTTCCAGTGTTTAATGGGGTGTGCACGTCGACATGATGTCGGTTTGGATTCATTAAGTCCCATGTCATGGCCATGTTATGGCTTGGGTGAATTAATCCATATTCTTCTAACGGGTTATCTCCTATATTGTGATTTTTTTATTGCATTGACTCTAAAATTTTTATTTGAAGGCAGGCCTTCCTGGACACGGGGTCTGTCACTTCGTTATCGGGCGCCTCTGCCCTCAGCTGTCCGTTCAGCCTGGCTTCCGAGAGGCAGCCTCACAGGCGCCCGCAGACCAGCGCTCACAGCGCTGCGCAGGCTGTTTTCCGAGCGGCGGGGAGCCGCCTCTCACTCCCGCACTCAGTGTAGGGATTGCAGCCACTGTCTGCTTTAGGTATTGCTGCCAGGGATTGTTTTAATCGAGCATGAAAAATTCATGTATGTGTTATGCCTTCCATGGGATCCTCTTTTTCTTTGTAAGCTTCATGGACTGTCCTTAATACTTGGTTTTGAGGCATAGAGTGCCATGTTTACGTGACTTGTTGTAAAGATGCTTGAAACCCTCACTGACTTCCAAATTCAGGCTTAGTATGCCACTGATTGTGGTTGGTAAAGTGACACATAATGCCTTTTTTTTTTTTTTTTTTTAATGTGCTATCCTTTAGTATAGCCATCGCTTACTCAGTCATTCTCCTATCGGATAGTTAGGTCGTATGTGATTAAATTTTTTTCTTTTGTGAACTAATTTTTAATTTTTTTATTTGTTTATTTTTTAAAATATATTTTATTGATTTTTTACAGAGAGATAAAGAGCCAAAAACGATGAGAGAGAAACATTGACCAGCTGCCTCTTGCACACCCACTACTGGGGATGTGCCCGCAACCAAGGCACATGGCCTTGACCGGAATCGAATCCGGGGCCCTTCAGTCCATACACCGACGCTCTACCACTGAGCCAAACCGGTTTCGGCTGTGAACTAATTTTTTTTTTTTAATATGTTTTTATTGATTTTGTACAGAGAGGAAGGGAGAGAGATAGAGAGCTAGAAACATCGATGAGAGAGAGTCATCGATCAGCTGCCTCTTGCACACCCCCTACCGGGGATATGCCCGCAACCAAGGTACATGCCCTTGACCGGAATCGAACCCGGGACCTCTAAGTCCCCAAGCTGATGCGCTAACCGTTGAGCCAAACCGGTTTCGGCTGTGAACTAATTTTTCAAATTGGACTTATTGGGGCGACTTTGGTTAATGAAATTATAGGTGTTCAACTCTATAATACATCATCTGTATATTACATTGTGGTTCAGCCTCCCCCCTTTTTTCCCTCTGGTAATCACCATACTATTGCTTGTGACTGAGTTGTTGTTTTTTAATTTTTAAAATATATTTTTATTGATTTCAGAGAGGAGGGGAGAAGGAGAGAGAGAGAAACATCTATGATGAGAGAGAATCATTGATTGACTGCCTCCTGCACGTCCCACATTGAGCATCAACCTATGAACCAAGAGGTCATAGTTCCATTCCCGATCGGCAGTTAACATGTTGTCAGAGGAATGTTATTCCTCCAACATCTTAATATGAACAATTCCAGACAGAGAAGAATTGTGCAATGAACTAATGTATACATGGATACCATCACTTGGGTTCTGTCACCAACATTTTGCTCTGTTTGCTTTGTCACATGTCTTCCCAATATTGGAGGGAATTCTTAAAGACGATGCTAGAGAAGTTGATTTTGAAGGAGACTGAGGGTGATAGACAGATATAAATTCTTGTTTTGAGCTTAGCTGGTGTGGCTCAGTGGGTTGAGCATTGTCCCATGCACCAGGAGGTCACTGGTTCTATTCTGAGTCAGGGCACATACCCAGGTTGCGGGCTCCATACCTAGTAGGGGGCATGAAGGAGGCAGCTGATTAATGTTTATCTCTCATTGATATTTCTCTCCTTTCTAAAAATCACTAAAAACATCTTTTTAAAACATTCTTGTTTGAATTCTTACCTTCAGCTGACTCAAATATCGGTTTACCCCAGGGTTAGGCCTGGTTTTTCTGGAAGGCGGTCTGTGTAAAGGCTGCTTCAGACTTAACTCTGTTACAGGGAGTTAATTCTTCAGCTTTGAGTGTTCCAGAAACGACACAGAACATGAATTTTTTGAAGCCTCAAATGGTGATAACTAGTGGCTTTCTGTAAGTTGGATGTACTGTCTTGTTAGTAGCAGAAAATGAGAATTTCTGCTAGTGTTCTGTGTTTTGTAGCATGAAATGACTGTTCATGTGTTTTCTGAACACATCCTGTGCATGGTTCTGCATTTGCTGCAGGCTCACTATGGAGTCCTCGTTCCCGTTTCCCTGTTTAGGCTGAGGCCTGAAATTCGGGATCTTCAATTTTTTTTTTTTTAGCTTCCTGAGTTCTTTATTTTTTTTTTCTTTATTTTTTTTTTTTAACATGAAGAAATTGCTGATGTTTCTAGATTATTGATCATTAAAAGAAAAGTTTTGGCCCTGGCCAGTATACTCAGTGGTTGGAACTTTGGCCCGTGCATGAAAGGGTCTCGGGTTCGATACCGTGGTTGCAGACTCCATCCCTTTCCTGGTCAGGATGAGTTCTGGAGGCAATCAATTGATGTGTCGCTCTCACATCCATGTTTCTCTCACACCCTCATCCCCAATCAATAGGAAAAAATACTCTTGTGAAAGTTTTGGTTTATAGATTTCAGGAATTGATAGTGGAATTTGTCCAAAATATTTTAAAGTAAAATTTCCTCTAAATTCTAATGGAAAAAAATGGACATAATAGGAACAAGTTACTGGGTTTAATCTTAGTTACTTCGGCCAGGACCGGTTCGGCTCAATGGATAGAGCATCGGCTTGTGGACTGAAAGGTCCCGGGTTCAATTCTGGTCAAGGGCATGTACCTTGGTTGCGGGCATATCCCCAGTAGGGGGTGTGCAGGAGGCAGCTGATCGATGACTCTCTTTCATCGATGTTTCTAACTCTCTATCTCTCTCCCTTCCTCTCTGTACAAAATCAATAAAATATTTAAAAAAATAAATAAATAATCTTAGTTACTTTGTTAGATGGGGCAGGTGCACAGGTAGGTTAAAGAAAAAGTGCTCATTTTCTAGAGTTGAATCTTTCCAAGATTAAAAGAGGTTGAACTGAGCAGCTAATATATTAGATTGGAAATTCCAAAGCAAATAGTAGCTTCCTGAGATTCTGCAGCAGCATCGGTCCAGGCTGTGGCCAAACACGCTCCTCTTCCTGTGGGGAGAGCTGGGATTCTCCCAGGGCCAGTGTTGACTTTGGCTTCTGGCCTTTATTTGTGGATGTGTTTAAGAGGAGTGAATAAATACACTAATAGGAGGTAAATAACTTTCCTTTTTGTTTTTGTCTGCTTTTAAAAATTAAGTAAATGTTTAAATAAAAGGTTGGACATGTAATTATAATTTTATAATTATCCTATAGAATGCAGATTTGTAGCAAATAACTGATTACTAATAAAATTTCAGTCAATATCAGGTTATGTCCTTGAATTCCTTTTTAGTTCAACCTTTCAAAAGATAGGCCTCAGCTGAAGACAGTTTCAGGAAAAGGAAGTTCAGGGTGCTGACAGCACCGGTGCCCATCCTGACAGCAGTGGCTCTGTTCCTCAGACACAGAGAGAGGCTCAGGCCAGGATCTTAAAGGAAGTGCTACTATGTTTTAACAGGGAAGTGTAAGAATTTTTTTTAGAATATACTTTTTATTTATTTTAAGCGAGGAAGAGAGAGTGTAGAGAGCGCCTGGGAAGGCAGTGAGCTAATTGTTGGCTGAGACCAGTGGCATCGGCAGAGCCATGTCCCGGAAACGCACCGTGCCAGAGACAGGTATGTTGTCAGCCTGACCTTAGCTCAGGTGCCAGGGGGTGGGTTTCATTATCTAAGTTCAGCCAGGCTCAAGGAACCAACCGAATTATCCATGGAGTGACGATTACAAAGGAGCCACAAGGATGAAGAATTGTAGCTTGATCTTTAACCAGGATTTCACATAATTTCCTTTGTCTTAAACTATAGTAAAACTTCCGGAATCACGCTGTGCATGATAAACGCGCTGCACCAGCTCTGGGTCACCGCCCCTCCATCAGAGGGCAGTCCCACCCGGTCCCAGCTTTCCCTACTGTCTCTGGCTCTCTGTTTCTCAATCCCCAGCCGCCCCTACTCAGGAACTCATCTGCTCTCTAGCCTTGCTGGTGGCAGTAAAGAGAGAAAACTTACAGAAGAGGGAGAGGCATTGATTGTCTGCCTCCTAACGCTCCCTACTGGGGATTGAGCCCGAAACCCAGGCATGTGGCCTGACTGGGAATTAAACCTGCAACCTTTCCGTGTACAGGACGACACTCAGCCAACTGAGCCACATGGGCAAAGCGAAAGTTAAAATCCTCAGAGATGCTTATCCTGGACATTAAGCGACAATAACATTTTTGCACATTTGTCATTTTGAAAAGAGTCCATTTATCATAGCCTTAGACTCCGCTCTCCTCAGCTGCCTCACCCAGGCCGTGCTTGTCCTGCCTCAGTCTCGGCAGCTCTTGCAATGCCCCCTCTCCACCCTGGCAGCCCCTCTTGGTGCGGACTCCAGGGGAGTGACTGAGATGGAGCCACTGCTGCTCCGCCCTCCTCTTCCAGCTTCAGGTCCAGCTCCTCAGTCTTCTCTCCAGGCAGCGCTCAGTCTTCTCAAAATGCAAATCTGATGGTTTCTCGGCAACTAAGGCATCTGTGACTTCCCAAGTAGGATCAAGTCCATGTTCTTAGCAAGAAGAGATGACAATCTTCCAATTTTCCTCTGCCACTTGCTTCTGATTCCTGTGTCCTTAGTTATTCCGGGCTTTTAGCCCTGCGTCTCCCATATGCTGTTGCTTTTGTCTAGAATAGTCCTCCCTGTCGTGTGCTCCTTCCCCTAAGTCTCAGCATAACGGCAGCCGCCTCCCACTGCCCCAAGACCAGCTTAGCTCTCTTGCTGGATGTTTCCAGAGCATCTTTGGAAACACTGTTGCATCTATAATTTTTTGTCATGCCTATATTCTTCGTTTTTTAATTAACTGCATAAATTCCATGAGGTCTTATTTGTTGCAGCACCCAGTATACTTCCTGGCATAGCACACGATTTGTTGGTGTAGATCCAAATTGAGCTAAGTAACGCTCACAATAGTTTTGTGGTGGAGTCGGCAGTTTCGCATCCATATTACAGTTGAGGAAACTGGAGGCACAAGGAAGTTGAAACTTACCCCAAAACTCCAGCCAGTAAGGATAGAGCTGGCCATGGTGGGTCTCAAGTCCAGGGTAATGACTGCAAATCTTAGGCTCCTGCTCGCACAGTCTATTCTGACTTGCTAAGCTTTTAACAAAACGTATGGCAGTGAGTCATGGCGGTGAGAAAGCCTTCGGGACTTGGAAGCTGCCTCCGATGACATAATGTTTGATCTGTGCGGGCTGTAGGGTGGGGAGCCCCAACTTCTGCTAAGCCCTACGTAATGCTCCAAGCGGAGCAAGTACTGGCAGGACTGGCCGGCCTGGGACCGGCCGCTGAGAGGCTTTTTGCCTTAAACTGAGATGCAGGGAAAACAAAGCACCAGCTCCCAATGTGATTCCTGATTTACAGCAGCCGAGGTTGGACAGGAAGGAGTCTTACAGCTCAGAGTGCGGTGTGTCCTCAGAGCTTGGAAAGCCTGATGAGCGGCAGGGAGGTGGGCGTCGGCTAAACGGTTAGGCCAGGGCCGTGGGCTTGGAGCCCTGGAGTCATCCTAGGCATGCACCATTGTGGCTGATGGTGCAGTAACTTACATTTTAGGTCATGTTCTCTAGAAAAATTTCTTTTTAATGATTGAGACTTCCAATCGCAGACTGTGCCTGATGGTGCTCTGAGTCCCTACCAGCTAGAGGCCTTCCCTCTGTGGAGCAGTTCTGCAGTCTCGCCTTCTCTGGGAAGTTACTCCGCCCCCTGAGCTTCTCACTGACTTGGGCTTGCGCTGTGAGCTGCTCTAAAAGCCCTGGTGATACATGAGGACGGTGGGAGGTGACAAGTGAATGCAGCTGAGTTAGAGTGGGAATAGTTCTGTGCCGTGGTGACTGAGCACTCTGTCGTTACTGATTGCCAGGGGAGGCTTTAGGAGGCGATGGAATTTGAGCTGCCACTCAGCAGCACAGGCTATTACTTAGCAACACTTCAGACGGCAGAGGAAAGCTGTGTTCGCATATTAGTTTCATCAGAGTAACTTCAGTTTAGGATGCAAGGTTCTTGGATGGCAGATTCTACAGATGGCCGCGGAGGATTTCCGGTTTAAAACAGTGTTTCTCTGAGCCTTACTGAAGAGCATCCCCTGCCCGAGTGCTGATGCCGCGTGCCCAGCCAGAGTGCGACGGCTCCTGACTGCCTTTCTGGAAAATTCTAGTTTGTTTAGATTTCACAGATAAAATTATACGTGTAATGTTAAAAGGTTATAGAAACAGTTTTCTTTAATGCTAAGTACTGATGTATACTCCTTGATTTTTCTATAAATTATTTTAATAGAATAATGAAAACTAGGATTACATTCATGTTAATCAAGCAACTCATACCTTTTTTTCTCTCTCTCCCTAGAGCTGTAGGTAAAACTTGCCTACTGATCAGTTATACCACCAATGCATTTCCTGGAGAATACATCCCCACCGTGTGAGTATCTGAAGTTACTGGGAATTAACTCATCTGTGATGTTTTCAGACGATGCCTTTGACCTTTGTTTTGCTACTTACATGAACAGATGTGATTGCTTTTCCTTTCAGACATTCCCCAAAGTCTAGGTGTTTGGGCTTTTAAAAAAATACCTAATATAATGTAGTTTCCACCTAGTGATGAAACACAGATTTTCTAATTGACTTTTAGATGTTTAGGAAATACAAGGAATTTAAACTCACTGAAGTGCAGTCTGATGTATGTTTCAGGTGCATTTGGCTCTCTGGGCTCTGTGCAGGCTCCGGGAACTGGAACATGACTCCTCCGTTCCGTTGTAATTGGTCTTTTCTAGCAAGTTCTCCACTGATCCATGTCACTGTTGAGTTACGGGGCTTTGGAGTTTAAGCCAGGGTGTGTGTGGGAGTGAGCTGCTTGGTCCCTGTTGGCAGCAGCGGTGGAGATGGGAGAGCGCCTTTCTAATGATGGGGTGCTTGGGAGCCCGCGTAGCCTGCCCGGCCTCGCAGCTCCACCCTGTGGTCACGCTGAACTCTGTTTTCCCGGCTTCCCTCCTGGTGGAGAGGAAACACTTCAAGTCCATCTCCTCAAGCAGTGCTCACACTTAATGCTCCCTGAAGTGTCTTGTTGCATATTTTTAAAAAATATATTTTATTGATTTTTCACAGAGAAAAAGAGAGAGGGATAGAGAGTTAGAAACTTCGATGAGAGAGAATCATCGATCAGCTGCCTCTTGCACACCCCCTACTGGGGATGTGCCCGAAACCAAGGTACATGCCCTTGACCGGAATCGAACCTGGGACCTTTCAGTCCACAGGCCTACGCTCTATCCACTGAAACACACCGGTTTCGGTTTGTTGCATGTTTTAATACTAGTGGCCCGGTGCATGAAATTCATACACGGGGGAAGGGGTTCCTCTCAGCTCAGCCTGCACCCTCTTCAATCGGGGACCCCGTGGGGGCCATCCCTCTTGCAATCTGGGACCATTGACTCCTAACCACTTGCCTGCCTGCCTGCCTGATTGCTCTTGCCTCTACCTACCTGATCCCCCCTAACTGCTCTCCCCTGCCAGCCTGATCTCAGCCCCAGCTGCCCCTGCTGATCTGATCTCACCCTCAAGGGCCCTCCCCTGCCGACCTGAACTCACCTCTAACTGCCTTCCCCTGCCAGTCTGGTTGTCCCCTACTGACCTCTCCTCAGCCCCCCACCACCATGGCTTTGTTAGGAAGGAAGTCAGACATCTGGAAGATGGCCATTCGACCGGGTCTAATTAGCATATTTTCCTTACATTAGTATAGGATAGGATAGGATTGCTTAAATGGGGAGGAAAAGCCTTTTCCAGCAGGAGGAGATGCTCTTGGCAGACAAAAATACACAATCCCATGTTGCCAGCCATATGCATTATGCTGCCAAACCGATCCTTACAAAATTGAACCGCTTTCTTACACCTTACACCAAACAGCTGTTGCCTTTAAAACCCCTCCTCAGCCCCCACCTTAGGATCTGCCTTTGCAGTTTACCCAGACTAGGTTCTAATTGGTTGGTTTCTATGCCCTCAGCGTCAAAAGCTCCATCTCCTAGGCAGCCATTGGCTCCTCACACTTCACCCAGATTTGGTTCTGATTGGTTAGTTTCTATGCCAGTCAGCATCTCCGGGCCTGATCAGAGAAGTGGGCTGATCAACAGCTGCCACGCAGACATGGATCAGACCCTGCTTCTCTGTCTAGGCCTCTCTGCACCTGATCTGCAGCCCCCTCGGCTTCCCGTCGGTCGAGCATTCAGTTGTTATGGACCCTGGTTTTTTATATGTTAGGATCAGTGGAATCACACTGTCCGGAACTTAGGGTAGGGACTGTCCTTATCCACACGTGTAGATAGAGCTAAGTCGTTAACAGCTGTTAGGACTTTGAACGGCTATAGCTGATGGCCCTGGTCATTTTCTTGGCATCACACACAGTGCTGTGTTAAAACATTGTTGCATGAGGAATTGTTCCAAATTTTAAATTTTCATAGACACTACCCATTTGTCGTCTAAAAGGCTATCACTTTGACCAGCTGGGATGGAAACAGCCCCTTAGTACATGTTGTGGTCCTCATGAATTCAAAAAGCTACCTTACCATTTGCATTTGTGATCGTCAATGAAGTTAAAGTCTTTTGAATGTTTACTGTCGATTCATAGTCTTCTGTGAATAGCCTGTTGAAATTTTTGCTTATTTTTCTACTGAAATTTTTTTCTTAGCAGTGGAACTTCTGCATATAAGAAATATTGATTCCTGTCTCTTCATTTGTCTTTGAACCTTGTTACGATGTCACTTAGGAGTGATGTGAAAATATTCTCTAGTAATTTTTCTAGGATTTTTGTGTTTTAAGTTTTTATCTTTAATTTTTTTAGGGTGTATTTTTAATGCTTATTGATTGATTGATTTTTAGAGGAAGCGACACACACACACACACACACACACACGATTTGTTGTTCCACTTACTTATTCATTCATTTGTTGCTTCTCTTATGTGACCTGACTAGAGATGGAACGAGCAACCTTGGCATGCTGGGATGGCACCCTCACTGAGTTTTATTTTAGTGTGAGACAGGCGCTGATTCTTTCCCAAATTGGAGGTGGGGGAGTCACCATTCAGTGAGTAATCTGTCCTTTTCGCATGAGGCAGAATTACTACACATCAGGCCTCCAATGAAAACTAGTTTGGTCACTAAACTTTACAAATCACATAGCACTTTAGACTTTGACTCTGCTGCCCCAGTGTAGTAAGACCTAAAGTTTTAGTCTCCAGAGTATGTAGAAATGAATCCTGGAGTTCTTTGGTATCTATTTGGTACCGGCCCTGGTTTGAATTGCAATGCCGGGTTTTTTATTTAATGAACTACTTACTCTATGATACTCCAATTTTTGTCTTACTTTCCCCTATTAGCCTGTAGGCTTCTATGGCCTTCCTCCTATAGTTAACCAGTTTTTGTGTAGCAACTTCAGAGTAGTTTAACATATGTGAAATCCCATACATTCAGAGTGGTTTAACATGTGTGTAATCCCATACATTCAAAGTAGTTTAACATGTATATAATCCCATACATTCAAAGTGGTTTAACATGTGTACAATCCTAAACATTCACTTTGAAAACGCTGTGCGATGGCGCTCAGAACCCTCCGTGCTGGTTGTGGGTGATCAAGCCTCCACTCAGCCCAGCCTGCGGGGGGTCCCGGAGGCCAGCCCGGCTGGTGCCGGCTGTGAAAGGCTCAGCAGCGGGATTTGAGAGGGACCAAGTTTACAGTCTGTTTCTTCCCAGGAGGAAAGCCTTAGTTAGCGTCTCTTCAGCAAAGGCGAAGCTGCTTATTGCTGACATAACTGACTGTGCATTATTTCCCTCATGCTCTGCCCCGTTCTCCCTCCACGTCATAGCTCACAGGGGTCTCCTGAGCCTGCAGGAGGGGCATCTGTGGGCCTGGCGGCCTCTCGCCCTCACCCCCACTCCCCACCCCCTACCCCTGCCGGCCTTCTCAGCACCGCTTCCTCTGGGCCCAGCTGGGACAGCGGCTCGGGTGCTGGGCCTGGGCCTTATGCTCCAAGGCTCAACGCTAACCATTTTTCTCCGTGTTTTACAGCTTTGACAACTATTCTGCCAATGTCATGGTAGACGGGAAGCCGGTGAACCTGGGCCTGTGGGATACCGCTGGGCAAGAAGATTACGACAGATTGCGTCCCCTCTCCTACCCGCAGACAGTAAGGACCACGAGTGATTCTTTTTTAAGATTTTGGTTTGAGTTTTAGAGGGAGAGGAGGGGGAGGAAGAGAGCCACTTGTATTTAAATATGCATCCTGTGCTTTTCTTGTTACATTTTGTTCTTCCTTTTAAAAGTACATTTAAAACAATTTCGGAGGCTTAGTCGCTAACTGACAAACATGGTGTGCAGGCAGTTGAACAGATTCCTTGGGTTCAAAGTCTGCTCTCCCTCTGACTGTTACCTTGGCAGTTGTCTTGTCTGTCTTCCCCTCTCTCCTGTAGGGAGCTGAGTGGGTAGCGTGAAGCATACGGAGCAGGCCCAGCACATCAGCCCGCTCCTGCGCAGCGGCTGTTGGGCTTCCCTGGTTCCCAGGCAGGTCTGGGGCCTCCGCTCAGTCACCATCCTCCCTGCAGCCGGATGCCAAGGGGTTAAGGGTCAGGTCGGAGACAGCTGGAGGAGGCGGGCTTTGACCCTTTGGTTTGGTTGACCCTCCGCTTGGTTTACCCATCACTTTCCGTGGCAGGTGGTGAGGGGGGAAAGAACTAACAGTTCCAGTCCACCCCATCTTGTTTTTGTTTTTAAGTGAACTTCCTGTTCGTAGTGATAGTTTTAACTTCTGAAAACTGCTTTTCCAGGCAACAGTCACGGATTGCCTCTGGTTCTCTGCTGGAGGAATTGCCAACCGCTGTTTCTTTGAGCTGTAGATTTTGCTAGTTCCTGGTAATAGATCAAAACTATAAAATGGGAGGTTTGAATTGTATGATGTTTTAGTTTATCTACAACTAAAAATTAACAAAGTATTAAAAACCAGCCAAATCACCAAGTGGTTTGGGTTTTTCAATATGTTCAGGAATCTGTTCTATACCAGCGGGTGCTTGATGACTAGATTTTAAATGGGTTTGCAGACATCCCGAGCCCCTGGCTGCATCTGTGGGGGGGGAGGGGTCCCTCCACCGCCTGTGACTCAGGCAGGGTGCGGCGGCCTGTTCTCAGCAGCACTCGGTGTGTCAGAGTGACTTGGCCAGATTTCCGCTTGGTGCGCTAGAGCACACAGATGGCGCCGATTGGCCCCGATTGGCCAGGATTGGGATTGGATCGGGCAGTGAGCTGGCTGACAGCCGAGGGGGTGTTGCCTTGGGGGAGGGCTGGGACCTGAGCCTTCTCCGTCTCCGTTTCATTCCCTCGGAGGGGAGAACTGTCCTCGCAGATGCTTGAACAGCAAAGGGGCTGGTGTGACTCTGCCCTCAGTGGCTCACACACAGGTGCCGTGGCGCCCTGTGTTACATGGCGCGGGGTCACTGAGGAGCTGCAGGAGAGCACCAGCCAGCGGGCAGGCACCCTGTGCGGGTGAGGGAGGAGGAGGAAGGACGGCACCTTGGGGCGGAGGGCGGTCCGAGGGGAGGAGCCCCTTTCTGTGCGCCACGCTGCCCTGCGGTTCCCGCTGGCCCTGGAGCCCGGGCACCAGCTGGCGGCTCCGGGGCGCACGCGGCCCTGGTGCTCCTCCGGCCGGTGCCCAGACCCGGGCAGGGCCCTGGGGACACGCGCTGCGGGCCTGTGCTCACCCGTGTGAACCCTTGTTCCTCCCTCATTCTCCAGAGGTGTGAGCACAGTGTCACCATTTTCAGTGTAACCTGTCCATCACGTGTTTATTTTCTAAATTAAGTGATCCTTGGGGTTTTCTCCCCTTTGGTAGTTACCTCAGGATGTGTGTAGCTTCTGCACACTCCCTCCGCCTGGTGCTCAGCACGGAGGGTGAGCCCAGGCCCAGGCCGGCGGCACCTGTGTCCGCGCTGCGTGCCCGCCTGCCCGTGCGGTGCTGAGTGTGCGAGCGGGAAGAGGGTGGCTTGCCAGGCGCAGGGCCCGGCCCTGTGGGTCACCAGGCGTGGCGTGGAGGGCGTCGGTCTGTGTGTGCCCGGACTTGCAAAGGGTTTGGAAGCACCAGCTGGATTGCTGCCGCGTGAGCTACAAGAAAGGCCGTGGCGCGGAGCCGGCTGTGGTTTCACACGGCTTCAGCGTGGCCAGGGGCGGAGCACATCAGTGTCCTCCGGGCCGGGCCGGCACTCGGTCCTGCACGCCTTGGCGGGGGCTGAGCTGGGCCCGGGCTCAGAGCAGCTGCTCGGGCGGCGCTGCGGGAAGAGGGAGGTTCTGTGGGGCCTCGGGGAGGCCTGCCTGGGAGGTGAGGGTGGAGTGGCCAGGGCTGGGGCCGGTGGTCCCGCTCCTCGGCTTTGCAGTTTGCAGTGACCTCCTGTGCTTGTGCTCAGACACGTTGGGGAGTGAGTGATCTCCATCTGCTGTATGTTTGTCTCCAGCTCAGGTGGCACACTGGCCGTGGCGGCGGTCTGGGAGGTGGCTTTGTGCACTCAGGCCTGCCCTGGGCGGCTCCCTGGCTCTGGGCGGCTGTGCCCGGTGTTTGCCGGTGCCCAGATGCCTGTATTAGAGAAACACTCGCAGCCGAAAGGAGCACCCGGGGGAGAGCATTGGGAGGAGACAGTGAAGGAAGGAAAGGGCAGAGCTGTGGGCCGTGAGCAGCCACCCAGAGCTGCCGCCGCCTCTGTGGACGGGACCTGAGCGGCGGGCGGGCGGAGGAGAGCCGCCGTGACGCTGACCGAGGACAGGCTGGCAGCACAGAGCAGCGGGCGGAAACGCCCCAAGCTGTAGGCGCGTGGCCGGAGGGAAGGTGGCCTGTGGCTGGGACCTACCTCGCAGGTGGAGTAGAGGCTGCAGGACACGCAGTGCCTGGGAGGAGGGAGTGTCCTGTGCTGCCCTCCGGTGGCCGTGTGCGGAGCTGCATGTCCCCGGACGGCTGTCACAGGGATGGGCAGCGGGTGGAGAGCAGAGCTCTGAACAGCCCGTGCGGGGAGAGCCTCGGAGCGGGAGGAAGGGTCCGAGAAGCCATCAGGCCGGGAGGGGGCAGGCAGGTGAGTGACATGAACGTGGGTCGGAAAGCTCTTTCTTCGTCATGAAAGACGCTCTGAGAGCGGAAAGTTGTGCTGGGTTGGGTGGAGGCGTCAGGAGGCGCTTCTGTGCCAGCCCCTCGGGCTCGCTGGTCACTGAGGCCGCGTCACTCAGGTCCCGGAGGACACGTCTTCCCAGGCAGCACGGTCGCAGCGGGCTCGGGAGCTGCAAGGCCTCTCCGCACGGCAGTGAGGCGCTGGGAGGAGACGGATGTCCTGTCCGTGCGCCCGGAGCCGCCCGCTGTGCTGGGAGGAGGAGGAGAGAACGGAGGCTTTGTAGCCAACACCGAATGCTGCCGCCTGGGGAGGGCCGGGGATGGTCTCTGTGCCTCTCCGGAGAGCCTGTCCCCAACGGCGCCCTCCGGGCCTCGGCCTCAGCCGCCGTCTGCTGGCCGGACGGAGCTCGGGGAAGGCGGCTGCGCTGCTGGGCCAGTGCGGGGAGGACACGCTCAGGCCCTCCCTGCTGAGCACCTGCTTCCTGGGCGTGTGGCCGGGTGTGCTGCCGTGGGGAGGAGTCCGTCTCCCCGGGTCTGTCTGCCTCTCCCAGGCTGGTTAACGGTTAGACAGCGGTCGCCAGCGGTCCCGGCTCCGCAAGGTCCGAAAGGCGGGGCCGCTGAGGTAGACCCTGGCTGCTGTCGGAGCAAAGCCTTGGGCGGGAGACCATTCTGCTGAGGAGTAAGGAGCAGGCTGTGTGATTGTGCTCATTTCCTCCGTGTTTACCAAACTCAAACCAGTTCTCGTGCATTACTAGGTCGGTAAGGATAGGACCTCCAGGGGCACAGACAAGCCGATTGCCGTATGTAAACCTTGAGTCACTTCTGTGTCAGCTTCTCCCCTCGTCTCTTAGTGCCTAGGACCCTCTTCAGCCTCCGTCTCCGGGCCTGCTTGCTGAGCCTGCTCTGTCCGGGGTGACCGGTGACCGCAGCCTGAACGAAAGCAGTTCCTCCCCCAGTGAGGGCCCCCTGCGGCCAGCGCCCGGCCGGCGGGACTAACCGGCTGCCAGGCTCTGCTGGTGCGGGGCCTGTCTGCGGCTGTGCGGGCGCTGCGCTGCCTCTGCTTGGCCACGGCTCCTCCGCTCAGGTGGCTCCCGGACAAGCTGGTGCATGTGCTGCGTTAGCAATGCTGTGCACAAAGCTGTTTGTGGGGTTTCTTTCCCTTCGGGTACAGAGAGCAGCCGGGGGACCGAAGGGTTAGCTTGGGAATTGGGCATTTCACCAAGTAATGCAACTGCCTCTTCCAGGAGGATGTTTTGTAAAGTTAGCCTTCTAGAAACTCGGTATTTTTAACTCGAGAAAGAATTTAGTCTTTTTACACACGCAGCATGGGAGAGACGCCCAGACGTCTGGAGCCCACGTTTTTCCAGGCGTTGGCTCTGCACCTGCCCCGGGGGGCCGGGCAGGCGCGGGCGCTCCTCAGCGGTTCTGGCAGGTGTGAGCCCGCGGCGGCTGAGGGGTTTGCACCTCCGGGCGGCGCCGAGCTCCCGGGCGGCACGCCGTTCTCGGGGCGTCTGAGAAGCTGGCGGTCTGCGGAGGTGTTCCGGGCGCGTGCCCGCTAGGCTCGGTGGGAGTTGGGGTGGTGATGCCTCCACAGCCGTCAGGAGCTGGCAGCATGTTCCCCCGCGCCCCGCTCACCGGGACGGGGTGCTCAGGGCCTGTTGGAGAGTCCGGGGAGCGGCTCCCGCACCGGCTGCGGGTGCGGTGCGGCCTGGTCGGACGCCGGTCCCAGCAGCACTGAGCGCGGAGTGCGCTCGGCACCGCGAGGGCCTCCTAACGCCCGTGTTCCCTTCCAGGACGTCTTCTTGATTTGCTTCTCGCTCGTGAGTCCTGCGTCCTTTGAGAATGTTCGGGCAAAGGTAAGGGGGTTGTTTGTGTGTTTGTGTGTTTGTTTTTAGAAACCTATTTTGTTACATAAGGAAGGAACTATAATAAAATAGCATTCACCGATTGACACTTTCTGTTCCTTACGTTGGGTTTAGGGATTCTATCACATCGGGGTCCTGAGTGGCTGACTCGGTGCCCAGGGCACCCTCCAAGGAGGGAGCCCAGGCCGCCCCACCCTGCACCTCAGACCCGCCAGAGGGACCCTGGCCAGCCCTTCCTCCAGGCTCAGTGGGGATGGCGGCGAGCTGAGACCTGGTTCAGACCTTTATTCTCTTTCCCGAGTAAACAGGGTGGGCAAATGTAGGTTGACAGTTATGAGTGCACTAAACACTGTGTGTGTTATTAATTATTGCATTATTACATCTGTCAACGTACTTTTGCCCACCCCTGTATGGAGTGTTTTTCTCCCTTCCAAGTACTAACCAGTCCCGACCCTGCTTAGCTTCCGAGATCAGACAGATCGGGCGCATTCGGGGTGGTATGGCCGTAGACTGTATGGAGTCTTTTCTGAGCTGACCTAAGGACTTCGCTGTTTTACTAAGAACAACGTGGTTTAGGGGGACCATCCCTGTCTTTCCCTCCTCTCTCTGTGACAGTAGCCCGCCCCGTAGGCCACGGGTCTGCCTGCTTGCTGTGAGGTTTGACAAGGAGCCCGGGGTCCGGGCTGCCCGGGGTCCTTGAAGGGAGGGAGAGGGACGGGTGGGCGCTGGAGAGCAGGTGCCGCTCCTGTGCGGAGGCTGTGGGCACAGTGCTAAAGGGCAGTTGCCATTTTGGCAGCTGGGATGTACTTGGTGAAGGAAGCCACAGAGGAGAGGGTCCTGACTCTTCCTTTCCTCTCACCCAGTGGTACCCCGAAGTTCGACACCACTGTCCCAACACTCCCATCATCCTGGTGGGGACCAAGCTGGACCTTCGGGATGACAAAGACACGATTGAGAAGCTGAAGGAGAAGAAGCTGACGCCCATCACCTACCCGCAGGGCTTAGCCATGGCCAAGGAGATCGGTATGAGCGCCCGCCTTTTCGCGTTTGCTTGGCACTGGCTTCCGTTTTCCTCGGGGCCTGGCTTGCTTTTGGGGAACCGGTGGGGTGGGGCTGCTGTGCCGGGTCTCGCCTGGGGGGCGGTGCTGAGAGCCGTCTGCCGGCAGGTGCTGTGAAATACCTGGAGTGCTCGGCGCTCACCCAGCGGGGCCTCAAGACCGTGTTCGACGAAGCCATCCGGGCCGTGCTGTGCCCACCGCCCGTCAAGAAGAGGAAGAGGAAGTGCCTGCTCGTGTGAAGGCGGCCTCGCCTGGCCCTCGCCCCGCCGCCCCGCCCCCGCCCCGCCCCGCGAACCTCTGTGTGCTTTGCTCAAACGACAGAGCCTTCGCACTCAATGCCAAGTTTTTGTTACCAATTAGCTTTTCCATAAAACCATTTTGAACCAATCAGTAATTTTTAGGTTTTATTTAAACAAATAAGTGTAAGGATTCAAACTTTCACATTCTATTAAAATTTAGCCCTAAAATGACAAGCTTTCTTAAAGCCTTATTTTTCAAAAGCCCCTCCTCTCACTCAGATAGAGTTGCCAAAACCCCTGTGAACTGAGTCGCATTGTTGTGCTAAGAACACTGAGCACTAACCTGTCCCAGGCCTGTGTCTCGCAGAAGACCGGCCTCGGACCTGAGGAAGGCAGACACACACTAACGGGCTTCACAGCAGCCTTCTTACAAAACATTGCCATTCATAATTTATCAGCCCGCGTTCCTTACCTGACATTGTACTGTAATGGGCTCGGCTCGTGGATTGGTCTTTACTTTGTAGAGTTTAAACAGTTCGTGTGCTAGCTCTCCCCGAGATCCCTGCCAGACCCTCCCTCGCGTGTCCCTCTGGCGAAGTGCTGTGCTCTCGCGGGCACACGGGGTGGGTGTGGGGGACAGCTGATGTGATCAGAGGGTGAAGGCAGTGTTTGACAAAACGTGAATGGAGGTTAATTCACACTACATTGTACGCGTAGCAAACGGAACGAAAGTGTCACGGGTAAGATGTGAAAAGCTAGCTTCGTCAGGTGCAGTCGATGGTGAAAGTTGGTGTTAATCAGTGAGTGTTTTCTTAAGATTTTCCTTTTTCTTAAACCTGTAACCCCTCCCACAATTGGGCATTTAATTCATCTTGGAACTGGTCATTCCCATAGTTGCTAACTTAGTGCTTTTCTTATAGATCCCCTTCTCAACGAGCAATATGCCTCCTTGTATAAATCTTTCTTGAGAATGCATTAGTTTTTTTGTAGATTAGTAAAGTGCATTCCTGTTTTCACGTTCTTTCATTCAAAGCTAATAAGTGCTTTCCTTAGTTTTCTAGTGACTAGATGTAAAAATCACGTGTTGCATCTCTCCAGTTTTTTAAGTATTTTAGATATCCCCAAACTACGAGCCTTCTTAACACCGTCTTGCCAGATCCCAGCACTGTTCCTTGGCCGCCGCTGGCCCTCCGCCTTCCCGTGGTCACGCTTCCTGTCGCTCTGCCTAACCACGTTCCTTCGGGTGGGAAGCCGTGACCTGTGCTTGTGCTAACGACGTTCTGTGCAGCTCACCCCCTGGCAAGAACACAATCGGACCTTCCAGCCACTAGAACAACATTTTTAAATTGACATTTGCAGACTTGTGGAGTGTTTTTACATCGATCTTTTGCTAATGCAGTTAGCAGTATGTTTTGCATGTATGACTTAATAAATCCTTGAATCATATGACTGGTGACACTCGAGTTCTTGAGAGCTTGGGGAACGACCTCCTGGTGTGTCCGTGTTCATTTGCCTTAAATTCCCAGGCTGTCGAAGATTCTCATTTTTCAAACCCTTTCCGTGCTGGGAACAGGGAGGCCCCTTCAGGGGAGACAGGCGGGGGTGAGTCAGCAAACAAGGGTGGTCACTGGTATAATACTCCCATGATGCCTACCTTGGGGCATGTGTGTGCACATCGTATGTGCATTGGGCCAGGGCTGAGGGCCGACCATGAGATGCTGGGATCCATTTGGCGTGGTGGTGGGGCTGAAACACTGACTTCCAGACCCTTTCTGGAGCCTGAAGTTGTGCTATAAATAGTTAATGCTAGAATCCGGTTCCTAAGTATCCTTTTTTATTGCTTTGGAAGACATTTATATGCTCTTTAAAGGGCAGGGTTCTAAAGCTTGCTACTGAAATGGCAATCCTCCCCTTCACACCCTCCCAGAGGCAGCTATTTTAGCAAGTTTTACTGGTTTGCCCCCATAATCTAATTCCAAATGCCTTTTTTGTTCACTAGGTTACCAGCTTATTCTAGAAGGCTGTAACTCAGCCAGAAGGAAGAGGTGGGTGGGACGAGGTAAGGGGAGAGTGTGGGGTTTCCATGCCTCCTTCCGGGGCCACTCTCCCCAACTAGCTGCCTGTTGGCCAGCCCAGCGGCGCTCAGGACCGTCCTCCGGGTGGTTACGGAGGGAGGCCTTGTCGCAGGCAGCACTGACTCACCCCGTTGGTGATGAATCAGCTGCCAGCCCTCTGCGGGGGTCAGTCTGAATCCTGTGCTGTTACTGGTTGGATCTTTGTTTCATCCATTACCATAGACACTCCCACCGTGGGCGATCTGAGGGCTTTGCTTCCCAGCGATCTATCCCTCGGCCCAGCACCTTGCCCATTCCCTCGGTGTGGCTATGTGGTTGGTGCTCCTTGTTTAGTGTCTTATTACTGTAAATGCAGCTGAGCCTCCTGTGTGTGCCTGGACTGGGAATTGAACCGGTGACCTCTCAGTGCATGGGACAGTGCTCAAGCAACTGAGCCATACTGGCCAGGGCAGGTGTATGTTGTTGATCCTCAGCTGAGGATATTTCCCCACTGCTCTTTAGGGATAGTGGGAGAGAGGAAAGGACAGAGAGGAACACATCAATTGGTTGCCTCTTGCATAAGCCCTGACCATACCCGGGCCAGGGAGGAGACTGATAACAAGGTACGTGCCCTTTGCTGGAATTGAACCCGGGACCCTTTGGTCCGCAGGCCAATGAACTATCCAGGAGCCAAACCGGCTAGGGCCACGCTTATGCTTTTTAAAGAAATCTCTTAACCCTCACTTTATGGGCGTGGGGTGGAGAGGAATCAGATGTCTATGCGTCTTCAGCCTGTAGCCACAGGCCAAGAGGACTCCATTCTGTTACAGTGGAGAGAGACCAGAAGGATGTGGCTGTAAAGTCCCCGGAAACAGACCCGGCGGAGAGCGCATCACTGTACACACCGGGGCTGTGTAAGCGCTTTATTAGTGCCCTGTGAGCCCATCCGACCCCCAGAGCCAGAGGCTGGGCCTGGGCCCTGGGCCCGGGCGGATGAAGCAGGCGAGCGTGTGAGCGTGTGAACGGGGCTGCGGCCGGGCAGAGCCGTCCCCTCACTTTCCCGCGGGCCTTGACTGGCTCCCACAGGAGCTCAGGCTAAGCCTCACGCCACGGGAGTACCCGGACCCCACCCTCCCAGCGGAGGCCCGAGTACGCAGCCAGGAGAATCCAGTTCACTGAATAAACGCACCTCTGGGTGCCACGCTCAGATCCTCTGAGCAGGGACAGACCCTGCCAGTGGGAGGTGGCGGGTGGGGTGCAGACCACACCTGGCGGCCACGTCACACGCTCTCCTGGGGCGGGAATCCACTGGCCCCGGGGACGGGCTCCTGCGAAGCTTGTGCGCGTTCAGGCTGCTGTGCTGATGTGGTAAAACGGCTTCTCAGACCACTCAGGCATTAGACTCGAGTTCAGTGTCCCCCAACTCCCATCATGGCACTGGCATCACGGGATCCACTTGGATATCAAGTTCAAGAACAACGGTCCGCGCCTGCGGTCCTGGAGACCTCCAGTCGCCGTGGTCACAGCACGTCCACATTACGCAGAGCCTCCTGGGGTGGGACAGGAAACGCAGGCCTCCCTGTTGGACACCACCCTGTCCAAAGCTTTGATCATGACGTCCGGAAAGTGGTCTGTGAGCATCTTTCTGCCGATGAGGATTTCGCTGAATTCTGACTCGTGTGACCACCTGGCCGTGTACCGAGCGGAGTAACACCACCTGGAAAAGACGGTCAATGGCAGAGCGTCACTTGGACTTCAGCTCCACGGACGTGTTTCATACGGACGGTGCGTGGCCTGAGGTCAGGGCCCCTAGCCCCCAGCTCACCTCCCTGAAGCCCCCTCTTCTTCCAGGTGGATGATCCTGCCGGGAGTGTAGAGAGGGGGGTACTTGGTGGGGGACCCCTCGGGGGAGTCGGTGGACCTGTATCCGGGGGGCTTGTGTGTCAGCAGGCTCTGCTCCCCAAGAAGCGGTAGGGTCAGGTCCCTGTGGTCGTCCCCGTCCAGCTCTGTTGGAAGGTCATCTGTGCTCCCTCCGAACAGCCCGAACCAGCAGCCGTGCAGCAAAACCTTGTACTAAAGGGGAGATGGGAGGCGCATGTTGGTACCCGGCCGGAGCGGGGGGCGGGAGCACTCTCAGCGCGGATGGTGCCTCCGTGGTGCTCCAGTCGGGTCTCAGGAGTGTGGAGGCCATTGGGCCTACACTTCGGCGTCTCTTGGGCAAAGAAGCCATCAGCTAGAAGCAATAGCTAATGCTGAATCATGCAGAATTTGAGGTGAAATTATCCTTAATTCTTCCCAGGTAACTGCAAACCAGACTTACTCTTCCCTCAAAGGTGTTAGGTACCAATAGTTTTTAATTGGGGATAGGGAGTAGCTGATAAGGAGAAAGTTTATTTTCAATAAACTTAGTACTTTTTCTGATTAGCAACAAAAACAAAAAGTCAGAAAACAAAGGTTAAAGATTATGTGTTTTTTTTTTCATTAAAACTCATATATCTGTTATTTATATCCTGTGGCTTTTTTTTTAACTTTTCATACATCATGGATAGCCTTCTTAATGGTAAATATAAGCTCACATCACCATTCTTTCTTCTTATCCTCACCAGAGGAGACTTCCCATTGCTTTTCAGGGGGAGAGGAAGGGAGGGAGACAGACTGGTTGCCTCCCACAGTGCTCCAACCGGGGTGGGGAGCGAACCCACAACCCAGGTATGTGCCCTTGACTGGAAATGGAACCCATAGCCCTTCGGTGTGCAGGCCGGTGCTCTAACCACTGAGATCACCAACCAGGGCTCGTGTCTCCATTCTTAAAGGACGGCCCCACCACTGTGTCAGACATTCTAGCTGGCAGCCGTGTTTTCGAAGCTTTGGGGCCAAAGGCACAGGATATCATGGGGCACAGACAGGGCTATGAGGTCTGAGACGTTTATGCAACAGCAGTGCCCCCTGCACTGGGCTGAGGCTTTGAGTCTAGAAAGCTCCTTCCCAGGCCTCAGGCGCCCGTTACCTTGGGCTTGTTGCAGCGGGCAATCAGCTGCAAGATCTTCCTCTTCAAGTCCTCCATGTTGGTCACACTCAGCCTGTTTGTAGAAGATCGGATTGGTGCTCAGTGCGTGGTCTCAGCGGGGGCCTCTCCCCCAGACGATGCCCAGCACTCACCTGGGGACCACGTCCTTGCCCACGACCAGGGACACGGTGAAGTCCTGAGAGTATTCATAGAGGGATTTGCTGGAATGCCAAAAAGAGAAACATTAAGTTCATTTCTCCACCCACACGTTCGGTGCGTCCCAACAGGCACGGACGGAGACAGCGCGGTTGCCCGCCGACAGTGCCCCTCAGGCGCAACAACAGTGAAGCTGCGCCGTGTGAGCCCACACGGATAGGCCCGGGGCGTTGTGTTAGGTGAAGTGATTCAGACGGAGAAAGACAAACACCACGTGACCTCACTGCCATGTTCACAGACACACAGAACAGACTGGTGGTTGCCCGGAGAGGGGCAGGGTGACAGAGGTGGGCAAAATGCATGAAGGGACTCAGGGTAGAAACATCTTCTATAATAAAAGCCTAATATGCTGTCTGGTTGACTGGTCGGTTGGTCAGTCAATCAAAGCGTCATATGCTAATGACATGCTAAAGGCTGCTCAACTGCTTGCTATGATGTGCACTGACCACCAGGGGGCAGGCAGTTAACCAGTCACTGATGTGCACTGACCACCAGGGGGCAGATGCTCTGTAACGTTAGCTTGCCAATCAGGACTGAGATAACTGGTCATGCCCTAGAGCCCTCCCAAGGTCTCTCCCCAGCTGGCCAACCTCCCACGTCCCTCCCCTGCCCTGGTCATGCACCAGTAGGGTCCCTCAGCCTGGCCTGTGCCCTTTTGCAATCCAGGGGATGTCTGAGAGCTGGTGTTTAAAGTAGTGCTTATCTATCTATCTATCTATAAAAGGCTAATATGCACAGTGTCCCCTCAGGAGTTTGATGTGAGACAGGGAGTTCAATTGCATGCTATGATGTGCGATGACCGCCAGGGGGTGGCATGGAACGAAGGAAGGCCCCAATGGGCTCCGATTGCCAGCCAGGCCTACAGAACCTCCCTGTGCACAAGTTTCATGCACCAGGCTTCTAGTCCAGGTATAAAACAAGAGGACTGTAGTTAACACTCCTGCATATTTGAAAGTTGCTAACTGTAATCAAAGTTCTCATCACAAGAAAAAAATGCATGGTAACATGTTAACTAGACACTGTGGTGATCATGTTACAATATATGTAAACATTGGATCACTGTGTTGTGTGCCAGAAACGAGTAAAATCGGGTGTTTGTCATTTGGCATTACATCGTTTAGGAAGTCAAAGCCATGGTCAGACGGACCCTGGCTAGGCCCTGCTCGTGGCTCAGTGGTTGAGCGCCAGCTATCAACCAGGAGGTCACGTTTGGTTCCCAGTCAGGGCACAGGCCTAGGTTGTGGGCTCCATCCTTGATTGTGCAGGAGGCAGCCAATCAATGATTCTCATCACTGATGTTTCCATCTCTCTCTGAAATAAATAAAACAATTTTATTTTTTTTTTAAAGAAAGGCTGTGTAGTCTTTCTTTAACAAAAGAGTACTTGAAAACACTTCTAAGGATAAAACACTAAGTCACCAACAAAAGACCAGTCTTAACTAGACTCATCGTTCGCCTCATTACGCCCGGGGAGGAAGCGGTACCTCAGCAGCCCCCTGGGCGGCGAGAAGGCGTAGCACCGGACGTGGGGGTAGGAGCCTCTGAGCATGATGGCCAGCAGGGCTGCAGCGCCCGCTCCCAGGCTGTGCCCGATAACCACCAGCCGGTACTCCTAAAGGACAGAGCGCAGTGAGGCGAGGTCACCACGCCCGGCAGCTAAGGGCGGGAATGAGAGGAGAGGGACGTCTCACAGGAGCAGCGCTGAAGGCCTGGGTCAGGATCCCGTCGGTGATGAGGCGTCGGTACAGGTACTTGGCAGCCTGAGTCATCCCCTGAAACAGAGGAGGCGACTGGTGTGACGGCGCCCCCTGCAGAGCAGCGTCTCGGGCGGTGGCATGCCCGCTGCTCTTTGTTCCTGGCACCCGTGCGGAGGTGGGCCCGTGAACACACGGGTGACATCAGGAACCTCCTGCTGATCCAGTGGTGTTTCTAGGGCGTTCTCTGCAGCTGCGGAGTGTGCTGCCATGTGGAGGTGCCAGCCTAGTCTGGCCAAGTCCCCGTGGTTGGTCCGATTTAGATCATGAATGACTCAGGTTTCAAAATGGCATCAAGACAAAGTTCTGAATCGTTGACATTAAGTGTCCCCTATTCCTGAAAAGGCAGAACTTAGGCCGTCGGAGGTGAATTATAGGGAGATCAGGCTTTGACTTAATTTTAAAAACAAAAACGTAAGACTTCCTAATGAATCCAGCTACCTCACAGCTATGGAAAGGCAAGCAGCTCCGACAGGGAGGCAACACGATCGAACCTGAGAGGTTCCCACAGACAGACAGGCCGCGTCCTCGGGAAGAGAAAGCTGGGACACGTCCTGACAAACCACCAGGCCCCCTTCCCCACAAGCATGGGTGCCGTCAGCTCCTCTGCACTTAGGCACCTGTCAGTGTCTGCTCTGGGCAGTCAGAGCCCAACACGCGGCCCTCACCTGCTGCTGGTGTCTCCCTGGCACGCGCCTCACGCAGACAAGGTGCCAAGGGCGTTTTCAGGCACAGAGCTTTCAACTCCAATTGCTAGGGACAGTGCCAGCCTCGCTGGCACAGACGAGCCGAGAGCAGAGGGCAGGCCGGGCCCTGTGCCTGGAGCAGCTGTCTTCCCGCCAGGGGGGAGGGCTGCTGCTGGAGGGGCCGGAGCTGGAGGCCTCAGGGATCAGCCAGGCCCCGAGGGCCACAGACGGCTTCGAGCTGCAGGAGGCGGACCCTGTAGGAGCCGAACTGCCAAGCCCAGACCCTGGCTGGCTGATGTGTCCAGAATACGGTTTACTTTTTTCACTCACACCCAATAGTGGTCAAACCAGACTCACGAACCGGGGCGCAAAACAACAGCCAAGGGTTAAAGCAGCGGTTCTCGGCCTTCCCAAAGCCACGCCCTTTGATCAGCTCCTCACGTGGTGACCCAGCCATAAAGTTTTTGTTGCTACTTCATAGCTTCATTTTGCTACTATTATGAATCGTAATGTAAATGTCTGTGTATCCTTATGTAAATACCCGATGGCCTTAGCGACCAACCCTCTAGCGGTTTCCAACCCGGGTCGCTGTAGAGAGCTGCCGGAGAGCCTAAGGAAACAGATATTCACGTCACGGTTCGTAACAGCAGCAAAACCACAGCTATGAAGTAGCGAGGAAAACAACTGCCTGGCTGGGTCACCACCACAGGAGGAGCAGCGTTAGGAAGGTGAGAGCCACTGGGTAAGAGGAAGTAGTTCCCCTCCCAGCACCGCCAGCTTCCAGGGGACGGACAGAGCCTCCGTTGCCGCCAGCAGGCCGCCACACACGGGCCGGGACACGGAGCCTGTGAGCTCAGGCCTTTTGTTTTTAAATGGTCACTACACACGTGACACGTTTTAGTTGAGAAGCCCATGAAGTGTGTAGACATCATGCTGCACCTGCACCCTCACAGCCTCCTGGTACCGTTCCAAACGCCCCTCCAGTGTTCACGCCTCCGCCCGAAGCCTCCCGTCACCAGGGAAACGTAGGTGGAACCGGCGAGAGGCCACCCACACCCACGGAGGGTGCCTGAACGGAGCAGGAAGCGCGGCGTGAAGAAACGGGAACTCCGTAGTACTGGTGAAACGGTGCCCCTGCTGGAAAACTGTCCCAGCTCCCCAAAAAGTTAAACCAAGCCCCAGCTGGTGTGGCTGTGGACAGAGCGTCAGCCTGCAGACCGAGCGAGGGTCCCAGTCAAGGGCACATGCCCGGGGTCGCAGGCTTGATCCCTGGTGGGAGGCAGCCGATCAATGAGTCTTATCATTTGATGTTTCTATCTCTCTCGCTTCCTCTCCAAAATCAATAAAGATGTATTTTTTAAAAATGTTAAATCAATCCTCAGCAATCCCACTCTGGTCTCCACCCGAAGGAAGAAGCCGGGACCTGAGCAGAGCCTGCACCCATGGGCATGACGTGACAGCCGCCCACGCCGTCTGAAGGCTGGGTGGCCGGGGGGATGTGTGAGCAGTGGTACCGCTCAGCCTGGAAGAGGACAGACCCTGAGAACACGGTGCACAGGCAACAACCAGCGGCGAAGGGACACAGACTCCTCTGACAGGAGATCCTGAGAGCACAAACCCACAGCCGGTGGGGGGTGGGGGTCGGGGAGGGGAGGTGGGACTCAGTGGCACCAGAGCTGATGGGATGACATGGAGAGGGGATGGCCGCAGCACTCTGTATGTCTAACGCACTGAACGGGCCGCGTCTAGACAGTTAAAGGAGAAGTGCCGTGTGGCCTGGAAAGCTTCAGGCCGTGGACGGGCCTGGCGGCGGCACTCTGCAGGCAGCGCTGCGGTTGGGGGCGCCCTGAGAATGCACCCCTCTGAGGACCAGGGAGGGAACGTCTGCGGGTCCCGGCCCGACTGACACTCAGGCACCAGGAGGCTGCTGGCAAGTGAGCCTGGCTCTGAGCCTGCCTCTTACAGTGCTGCCCGCCAGCACGGACAGGCTGCCAGGGAAAAGCGCCCACTGTGCGCAGCCCCTGGCGGTGAACAGGAGACTCCCCAGGCGTCTACCTTATGTGCCCCGCAGTCCTGCACCTCACACCCCAGCTCCAGGTTCTCGGTCTCTGCGGACAGGTCGGTGAGAATGTCCTGTAAGCACGGGGAGAGGGCAGTCAGCTGGGCGGGCGGCGTCTCCTGGCTCAGGGGCTCCCAGCAATGGAGACGTCAAGGGGAGCCGGGCAGAGGGGGGCTGTGAGGCGGGTGTGTCCCAGGGCCCAGTGAGCCCAGCCGCTGGGTGAGGGGCCCCATATCTGCACGCCACCAGCTCACAGGGGACCAAGGCTACGGCTCGGAACGGGCCCCTGAGCACCCAGCACCCAGGGAGCAGGAAGGCGCTGGGTCAGGCCGGGGAGCACCAGGAGCTGTGACCGAAACACAACCTTGGCTGGGCTTCCTGGGAGAAGGGGGTTCTGACCAGGCCCCGGAAAGAGGTCAGGACAGATGGGCCGGTGAGACAGAGGCAGGGACTGCGGGGGAAACCACCTCCAGCCCAGGAAGGCAGCCTGGCCAGCGCGGGCCGTGTGCGGGGACCGGGGAGGAGATGGGCGGAGACACTGGCAGAAAGCGAGGCATCCCTGCAGGCCTCGTTGTTAGAAGGGGGGCCCACGGGGAGCGGCTGGAGGGGGAAGGCTCTGGACTCTGGGCCAGGTCCTGGCCACCAGCTGGGCTACAAGCCGCGCCCCAGAGGGCAGAGGGCAGAGGGCAGAGGGCAGAGGGAGGGCCGGGCTCTGGAGGCTCATGCACTCAGGCATTTCCCGGGCCAGCAGAGTGAGCGGGAGCCAGGCAATGAGTCAGGAACGGCCAGGAGACCAGCCTGAGCCAAAGGGAGGGGGGCGCCTCCCACAGGGCAGAGGTTGGGTGGCGGGGCCCGGGGCTGGGGACAGGAGGTTCGCGCAGCCCCTGCAGGGCGCCCCTGGGCCCCGCTGAGGTCCACACAGGAATCGGGGCCCCACGGGCGTGCCCACTGCGGGAGCAACTTCGGCCAGCGCTGCTGACTTGCTGCCCCATTCTGGCGTTGGGTGGGAGTAAAAGTTCAAGGGTCACCCCGGTTGGGGCCAGGCCAGGCACACCAGGGGAGTCAGCAGGCGCCTCCTGGAGCAGGGACCCCACCTCCCCCACCCCCCACCCCTGTGTCTGTTTCAAGTTTCTCAAGGAAAAGGAAGTGACTTGGACGTTTTCTAAAGGACATTTCACAAGCCTGCACGCGCCACCCCCTCCCCCCCCCCCCCCCCCCCCCCGTGCTCCTGTCTGAGGCGGGCCAGGACTGTGGGCCTGGGCGGCCACTGGGGGTTCCCCAGGCCTTACCTGCAGAGACATGGTCCCCCGCACGGCCACCACCACGCACTCCTTCTTGTGATCCAGAGCCACCAGGAAGGGCAGCTCGTAGACCTGCAGAAGAGGCAGGAGGTTCAAGCGTGTGCCCGCCAGCCCGCCCGCGCCTCACGCCGTGCGCACAGGCTGGGTGAGCCTGCCTTTGCTCCTGGAACACGTGCCCGGTCTCCTTTCCCGCCTCTTTCCCACCTGTGGCCCGCCATGTGCTGCGCAGTGGGGCCTCCCTCCTGCAGCCGCATAGCTCCACACTAACCGGGCCTGGCCCCACAGCTGTTCCCACGGCTTCAGGCTGCCCAGGGCGGTGGGCCCCTCGGCGGGCAGGACAGCGCCCCTTCCTGACGTTCGAGCAGACAGATCTGGGTCGGGCACGCACCCCTCTCGCCAGCACCAAGCACAGGTGAAGCTGGGGCTCGGCTCCTGCCTTCGGAGTCGGCCCCACAGCACACGGAGTGCCCAGTCCTCTGGGGCTGCTGCTGCTTCCCTCCCTGGCCCTGACTGTGCACTGGCGGGGTCCCTCGGCCTGGCCTGTGCCTCTCGCCATCCAGGTCCCCTCGGGGGATGTCGGACTGCCGGTTTCAGCCCGATCCCCGCGGCCAGCCTGAGGGACCCCACTGGTGTCCGGATCCCTGCACTGGGCCTCTAGTAGTTTATAGCTGCCATCAGCATTCAAAGGACTCTGCCCGAGGCAGGCCGGAAGCGCTGTGCACGCTACCTTGTCGTGGAAGCTCATGTGGATGAAGTCGCTGTGCTGGAGCCCTGTCATCCGCAGGACGGAGCCCGAATGGCAATGCGGCTGCTCGCCGCCCACCACGTCGAACTCTGTGGTCCTGCTCCTGCAACTAAAACACGGAAGCCTGAGCCCCGCCCTGGGTCTCCACCGTCTCGTTTCTCTAGAGACCCGAGGACCAGAGTTCACAATCCAGGACCGCTAGGCTGACGTAGAACGGAAGAGATCTCTCTGCCTGGCCAGCACGGCTCAGTGGCTGAGTGTGAACCTGTGAACCAGGTCACGATTCAATTCCGGGTCAGGGCACAAGCCTGGGTTTCAGGCTTGATCCACAGTGTGGGGCGCGCAGGAGGCAGCCGACCCATGATTCTCTCTCATCATTGATCATTCTATCTCCCTTTTCCTTCCTCTCTGAAATCAATAAAAAAAAAAAAAATTTTTAAATATCATTGGGAGAATTGCAAAAATTGGAATATAAGTTATAAATGAGCTAACGATGAATGGTAATTTTCTGAGTTTATCGCTGCACTGTGTCACATAAGAGAATGCTCTTGTTCTTAAGCAATCCGGGCTGGAGTACGTGGAGATGAAGGGACGTGGTGTATGGCACGTCGAGGGGCAGCTAAGCAGAGAGCCTCCGCACACGTGACAAAATGAGTCCCACTGGCGGCTCCCATCACGGGGACGCGGGAATCTTAGTGCTGCTCTCGCAGTTTTTGAAATATTTCACAACAGAAAGGTTTTTAAAAGGGAAGGAAGGTTGTTTTTAGAAAACAACGTATGGGCGCCTCGGTGAGCGCCATCTCGGAGGGGGAGCCACCCTGCCGACCTACCAGTCGCCCCCGACCCTGCACAGCCCCGTGAAGGGGTTCCTGTAGATGTAGAGGGGCCAGCCGTAGGCAGCGGCCGCCATCGGCATGTAGTGGCGGCAGTTCTCCAGCTCCGTGTCCAGGCCATCCTCCTGGGAGAGAACCGTCTGGTTAGGGGTGGCTCCGAGGCCCACACACTCACCCGGAGCCTGAGCTGGAGGCCGCCACAGGGGGCACTGGCTCAGGGAGGCCCTCACTTTACAGGACAGCACGTGTTGTGAGCCGGCAGCCATTCCCGGGACCTTCCAACGCCACCATCAGGGTGGAAACCATATGCTCACGCCGCTGTGACCAGCCGCTGAGCACTGGGTGCCGGATGAGTGCAAAGAAACCATGTGCTTATGTGGGAAGTTCTCTTTCAAAGCTAAAACCCGTGGCAGGAACTCCCATCAAGCAAAACAGCTGTCTGCTCCCCCGGCCCAGCGCAGAGAGCAACACGTGGCCCGGGCCAGCCCCCGGAGGAAGGTCTGAAACGCGGCCGGCGCAAGCCGGGCACAGCCCCTCCCTGACTCCGGTGACGGAACTGCCGCACTGCAGTGACAGGTCCCAGGCAGCACGAGGCTCAGACCTGATCCCCAGCCGCTGCTGGGACTGCTGGCGAGTGTGTGTGTGTGTGTGTGTTCCTTTAAAAGATTTACAAATGGGCGTCAATGTCACAACTGTACACCTGACAGACATGGCTCACCTGGGAGGACCCTGGGGAGTGGCTGACCACTTCCTTCGGCGGCTGGCTGCTCCTGGCTCTGTCCTGCTGCTGGTGGAGGAGGGTGAGGCCCACCACGAGGTCACTGGGCACCAGGTCTGTGTCCTGGATGGGGGCCACACGGCCTGTTGTAAAGCTCAGCAGGACGGCCCCCGAGTCCCTTACACCCGCTTACACAGTCCCCACGCGCGCGCACACACACAGGCATCTGTAAAAAGGTGCTTTAAAAAGTTTCCTTTCGGAACTCCTCCTGTATGTGAGCTCGGTGTGTGTTACTCTGCCCTCAGACAACTCAACTGGCGAACACAGGGTCTGGTGGATCTCCATTTTAAAATCTCTCTTCATGTGACTTAGCTCTTTTAGTCTACTTCTCATCTCTGACGGAGCGGGGAGTCAGTGGCAGATGTGCCACTTCTGCAGTGACGGCCAATGTCAGCAGGACTAGCCTCTCAAGCTGAAGGTTTGGTGGAAGGTCCGTGGGAGGGAGGGATGAGCCTGGCTCACAGCCACAGGGGCAGCGGCCTCAGGAGGAACCGTCCACTGCGGAGGCTGCCCTTCCAGGAGGGACCCACCAGCGCGACCTCTCAGCCCTCACTCTGCCCTGATGCCGGCACGGCCTCCTCCAGGGAGACCAGAGCTCCTCCCTCCCCCACCTCCAGACCAGGCTGGAGCTCTCCTCCCGGATGATTTCGGGGACACATCCCTAACACCCCCACAGAGGCTCTGCTGGCCACAGGCCCAGCCTGGACAGAGCCAAGAAAGGCCCCGAGCACTCTCCCTGACGTGGTCTCGCGTGAACAGAGAGCAGTTTATCGGGCCATTTTATGAAAAGATGCACATTAAGTGCGAAAGCAAAACGAGTGTGTCTGAGACACTGAGAAGCCGCTCTAGGGCGGCCCCCCTCCCGCAGGAAGTCTCCTCCAGCTTTCCTTCGGAGGGGAATCCAGTGGCTCCCACCGCGCTGTGCAGAGGGAGGAGCAGTGGGACCCCTCCCCGCCTGTCAGCTCACAGCTGGTGAATTATTCCCAATGTGTAACGTTCATTAAAAACTAATTCAAAGTCCTGACAGAGTAACGAACAGGTGTCACCCGGGTCACACAGGCAGGCCCGCCCCCAGGGACCGGTCTATGGGGCGCGAGTGCAGAGCCCCTGACGGAGGGCAGGGAAGCGGGCTCACGGAGAAGTAGGTGGAGAAGAGCTCGGCCGTGCTGGAGAAGGCCATGCGCGCCTGGTCATCCCGCTCCACACAGCAGCACAGCAGCCTCATTCTCTTCTCCCACACGCTGGCAGCCGCCGTCCGGAGGCCGCTGAGGAACTGGCTCGCCTCGGGGTCATAGGTGGGGCCGGCAGAGGAGTACGGCGCCACCTTCCGCCCCAGCGGGTCGAAGACAACGAAAATGGTGACCGCCGTGGAGCCGATGATCATCCAGCTGCAAACAGGGGGCCGGGGTGAGCCCAGCACAGGCGGGCCCAGGCCGGGAACCTGGCGGAGGCGAGCAGCTGGCTTCCCCTAGAAAGTTCCTGCTGAGGCCCAGGATCCCAGCCCTGAGGACGATGCCGGCACAAGAGACAGGGACTGCGTGGGCAGCTGCAGCCCCGACCAGGACCCGCCTCACTCAGGGCCTCAGGGTTCTTGTCGGTAAAACCAAAAGAATTCTGCCAAAGCGCGGCACTGAGCTGAAACCTTTGTGGCTCAGTGGGTAGAGCATCGGCCTGCAGACTGAAGGGCCCCAGGTTTGATTCCGGTCAAGGGCATGTACCTTGGTTGCGGGCACATCCCCAGTAGGAGGTGTGCAGGAGGCAGCTGATCGATGTTTCTCTCTCATCGATGTTTCTAACGCTCTGTCCCCCTTCCTCTCTGTAAGAGATCGATAAAAAGTGTATATATACACACACACACAAAGTGCAGCCCTGACAGGCCTTTGGTTCGGTGTTTAAGTCATTCCCAGCTGTCGGGATACAAGAGGCTCTGGGTTCACACGCGTCTCTACTGGAAGTGGCCCTGAGGAGGGGCTCTGCTCCCCATGGAGGCGAGGCCAGGAACAGCACCATCAACATGGCTGTCCATTTCCTTATTTACAACACAGGGATATAACAAGATCACTTCAAAACGTTTTAGCCTGGGGAGTGCCAAAGTCTTATTTTAGTGCATTACACTCTGTCCAGTGCACTCCTTCCCATCCTGCCCTTAGCGTCTGCCCTTGTTCTGGCCTTCAGCCCCTCCTCCTTCTTGTATGAGAAGGGAGGGAATAGAGAAATGGGAACCGGTAAGAAAGAAGACTCCATCGATAAATGCATAAGCCCGGCTGATGAGGCCCAGGGGTTGAGTGTCGACCTATGAACCAGGAGGTTACAGTTCGATTCCCAGTCAGGGCACATGCCCAGTGTGGGGATTGCAGGAGGCAGCCAATCAATGATTCTCTCATCATTGATGCTTCTACCTCTCTCCCTTCATCTCTGAAATCAATAAAAACCTATTTAAAAACGCATGCTGGGCCGAGATCGGTTTGGCTCAATGGATAGAGCGTCGGCTTGGGGACTGAAGGGTCCCGGGTTCGATTCCGGTCAAGGGCATGTATCTTGGTTGTGGGCATATCCCCAGTAGGGGGTGTGCAAGAGGCAGCTGATCGATGACTCTCTCATCGATGTTTCTAACTCTCTATCCCTCTCCCTTCCTCTCTGTACAAAATCAATAAAATATATTTTAAAAAAAACGCATGCTGGGAGGCGAACCGTTTCTCACGTATGAACAGGTGCCTCTGAATGGTTCCATGGCCTCAGCACGGCCAGTTCCTAACCGCTGGGAGCGCGGTGCCGCCGGGCGGGCTGTCGCCCTCGGGAAGCTCTGCTCACCTACATCTCAGGGCACGTGTGTCAGGAAGCGGGAGAGCCGGCGGGAAGCGCTCACCTGACCACGACGGTGACGATGATGGCGCTCACCACTATCTTGTCGCACTGAGTGCTCTCTGCCACCCACATGGCCCCCAGGGAGGCCCAGACGATCTCGGGCAGGAAGAGCGCCAGGCGGATGTACAGCAGCGTCGCCATGGACTTCCGGGGCGCGGGGTTGAAGATGGTTCCTAGGACAGAAGACACTCGGGCTGGCCAGCCTCCCTCGGAGACGCAGGCAGGGCTCGCCTTCTACGCAGCACGGCCAGGGCGGCCACGGCTCTGCGCGGCCCCTCTGCTGTTCCTACTTTAGCCAGTCATCCACGCTGAGCGACCACGTGACCACGTGACAGGGAGCTGGACAGGCAGCCTTGATTCGCTTCTTGGACTCAGCAGGGTTTAAAAACGCTCCTAACTATCGATAGGATCCCAATTGGCACGCTTCTGAGAGCAAAGGGGCTGTTGGTAATTGTGCTGGGACGAGAGTAAACAGAACGAGCCCAAACACAGAGAAACCATTCCCTGCTCTGACCGACAAGAAGCTGAGCTGCAGCCCGGAGCCCTCCGTGACCACAGGCACCGCCACGCTGTCTCCTTATCAAGATGACCGTGAGACCGGCGCCATCCCCGCTCACAAACGAGGAACCCGAGGCTCTGAGCTCAGAAGCTACTTCCTAAAGTAAACCGTGACCATGACCCTGGCTCACTGCCTCCCTTCTGGGAAGAAGTAATTCTGATGGTCAGACCACTGAGAGAGGCCTGACATTCCGACACATTTCTGTGTTTGAAATACATCCCAGCACCCTCTCCCTGCGAGAAAGTGTTATGATAAACACTATTTTGTGACACCAAAATACCATGATTGAAACCAATAAACCCAAGTTCTAAAGAATGACTTGGTAAGGAAATCACTTGTAAAATCCAAAAATTATCTTCCATTAGAATGAATTATGTAGACTTACGTTTTATTTTAAATATGTTTTTATTGGTTTCCAAGAGGAAGGGAGATGGAGAGAGGGATAGGAGCATCAATAATGAGAGAGAATCACTGATTGGTTGCCTCCTGCACGCCACTCCCTACTGGGGATCGAGCCCACAACCTGGGCATGTGTTCTGACCAGGAAATGAACCATGACTTCTTGGTTCATCAGTCAATGCTCAACCACTGAGCCATGCCAGCCAGGCTAAAGTCACAGTTTAATATACCAGACACCTTGGGGTCTCATTCTGGGCACAAAGACAAATCTTATAAGGGAACTGAATGAGAGCGGCATGAAAAATCTAGTCCTGTGTTCGGAGCCCATTACTGTATAACCACCGCCGATCACCGAGGGGAAAAACAGGAAGTTAGTATCTTCTACACACACCCCTGCTTCCGGGAGCACGGGGGCCCAAATAAGGGAGCAGTGCCTGACACCCAGCAGCCCAGCAAGGCAACCTGTGGCTGCTGCGCGAATCAAGCCCACAAACAAGGAATCAGGAAATGGAGTTCTGGTTAAGGTTCCAGAAAAGTCATAGACACTGAGCAAGTCCCCTCTCCATAGCTGTGCCTGCCCAGAAAGCATTTTATCTTTTTGAGCTGTTTATTTTTCTTCTCAAGAAAAAGCACAGCTGGCGTGGCCCTGGCGGCTGCAGAGGCCCCGTGAGGCACCGCATCATGATTAACAGGAAGCCACGCCCCTGGATGTCATGTCCCAGCAGTCTCGGTGAAGTAACCCTTCACCAGGCACCAGGCTCTGGATTCAACACTTCTCCCCACTTAGAATCTTCTCTGGCAGGAGATGAGCAACGAACGTTTGAGATGCAGAGATGTTCAATGTCCGAGAATCAGACACAGTGACTGGCAGAAAAAACATGGGAATCAAGCCTGGCTGGTGTTGCTCAGTGGTTGAGCATCAACCTATGAACCAGGTCGCGGTTTGATTCCTGGTCAGGGCATATGCCTGGGTTGTGGCCTCCATCCTCAGTGTGGGGCGTGCAGGAGGGAGCAGATTAATGATTCTCTCTCATCATTGATGTTTCTCTCCCTCTCCCTTCCTCTCTGAAATCAATAAAAATACATTAAAAAATGTTTATACCTAAAATTTACAATTTGTAAAACACTTGACTTTGTGCAGGGAATGCATGTAAAGGTAAAAAGTGCAAACCGTTCAGATAGGTATAAAGCATCTGCCTCCACCGCTGACTGGATTCCAGTTAACTTCCATGGCCTCCTGCAATCCTCGCGTGAACAAACCATGTGTGTGCACATCCCCGTTAGAAAACGGGAGCAAGTTAATGCCACGCCTGGTCCCTCAGCCGAGTGAGACTTCCCCTGTGTCCAAGCAGTTCCCGACCTTTCCCTCGGGGCTCAGCACACATCACAGCCTGAATCACCTTCACCCGCCAGTGGCCCGACAGGCATGGATTTGTCCCAGCCATTGTCCCTATAAACGACCCTGCAGGGGCCATCCCCCTGAGGACTCTGCACGCCTTCAAATACACAGGAAAGAATGGAGCCACGCACAGCAAGACGGGGCTGCCCAGAGATGCCACCAAAGGACATTCCACCAACAAGACGAGCTGCCTGATCCTGCAGCCTCCCAGCCCCAGGCTTTGTCCCCGTGAACCTTGCTTACATGACGGAGGCTGAGCAATGTGCACGTTACTGATGTTTATTTAACTGTTCATGATCTCTGCCCAATTTCTACCAACTAGTGGCTTTTTTCTTATTTGTCACAAAAGCCCTTATAATGAAAGAGTCTGGCTCTAAGTCTCATATTTGTATCCCATTTGTCTTTCCAAACTTCCTGTATGGTATGTTTCACTAACACCTAAATATTTATGCTACGGCACATGATGTTAATCATTTGGAACAAATTGGCATGAGCTAGCATGCTTTTATGAAACACATTCTGCCTTCAGTTCAGCTGCAATGTCTCCCACCACAAGCAACAGAAAATCCAGCTCAAAGTGTCCAAACCAGGAAGACCTCCCCGGCTGCAGACGGGCTTCGTGCTCCCTGTCCTCCCCACTGCGCTGTTCTCCCCTCCGCACTGTCCTTCCTGGGTGTTGGCTCATCCTGGCCTGACCACAGCAGGAATCCAGCAGCTCATCCGCACATAACATCATCCTGAAGGGGGGACAGTCCTAGGGAAGCAAGGAAGGACTTCTCCAGAAATTCCCAGTAAATTCCCTGAATGTCATGACCCCAAATGGGTCACATGTCAATTCCTGAAAGCAGTCCCTGACCATGGACATTGTTCCAGAGCTGGGCAGGAGCCAGGCTCTGTGACACATGCCCTGGCATGTGCGGGGGGCGGAGGGGGGTTGTCCTGAGTTGAACTGGGTTTTGTTTGGAGGCTGCTGGGCCTGGGAGGGACCGGGGAGATGTGGCCATTCACCACAGGGGTGTGACTGGGTCCTGGCTCCCCAAAATCTATCTGAAGGAAAACATTTCTGGGGGAAAACTTACACTTATTGCTTCACATCTGAGCCCATGATTACCGTGTAAACATGGTGCATTAACCAGAGCGTGACCTGGACAGAAAGGGCAGAGGTTAGGCAATGGCATCTGAAATGAGGACCATCCGGTACCTCACCTCTCAGAAATCCTGGCTCCCTAACGTCGCAATGCGGCTCCAGCCAGCGCACCCCCTCCTCAGCACCAGCGCCTCTGCCATCCAGACCGGGACTGACAGCCACAGGACCACCCTGCTCTGCCGCAGACCCCACGCTCCCGTCCTCAGGGCTGTTTCCTGCCACGTGCTCCCATCAGCGGGCACACGCCATGCTTCCTGGTCACCCGAACCCCAAGACGTTCCCCATAAAACACGCTGTCACTAGCACTTCTCTCTGTGTCCCTCTTCACCAACCACCATTTTGTACGTCCCAATCTATCATTTCAAAATGCCAGTCTCTGCCACTGGACCAGCGACGCCCCAGTTTCATCACCATCCGCAGGCACCCTGATGCCAGCAGTGATAAGGCCCTGCTCCCACGGCAGCGTCACTGACGGGAGCACGGAGCACGCAGCTCCTCCTGTGAGCCGGAGCAATTGGCAGGGAGGGTCCACCCTCCTCAGCAGTGTCTGTCTGCAGAGAATGGAGGCGTGGAGGGGGAAGGATCCTTAAGAATAGATGTAACTCATTAACGAGAGGACAAATAACCCAACTTAAAATTGGACAAAGCATCGAAATAGACATTTCTCCAAAAATGATACACAAATGGCCACTAGCCATACGAAGACATGCCTGATGTTGTTACTCATCAGGGATGCAAATCAAAACCATGATGAGCTGCTGTTTCCCGCCCGCTGGGATGGCCGTGACCAAGAGGCACAGAGCTCCAGCCGGTGTGGCTCAGTTTATGGGCATGTCATCCGTGCACCAACAGGTCACTGGTTCCATTCCCAGGCAGGACGATGCCCAGGTTTTGGGCTCCATACCCATGAGGGTGGGTTCCTAGTAGAGGTACATGAGGAAGGTAACCTATGGGTGTTTTCCTCTCACAGTGATGTTTTTCTTTCTCTCTCAAAATCAATAAAAACACCTTTTAAAAAAAGAAGTCATATAGCCCTACCCAGTTTGGCTCAATGGATTGAGTGTCGGCCTGCAGACTGAAGGTCCTGGGTTCATTCCAATCGAGGGCATATGCCTGGGTTTCGGGCCTGATCCACAGTAGGGGGCGTGCAGGAGGCAGCCGAGCAATGATTCTCTCTCATCATTGATGTTTCTATCTCTCTCTGCCTCTCCCTTCCTCTCTGACATCAATAAAAACATTGCCCCCTTCCGGTGTAGGACAGCGCTCCAACCAACCGGCCACGCCCGCCGCGCAGGCCGCCTCTCCTCACCTCTCGTGCTCACGCACACGATGGCCATCATGGTACATATGATCACCGCCAGGAGCACCATGAGCACTACCATGTAGTTGCTGAGCAGGGTCCCCCGAGCACAGTCCAGCTTCCCGCGGTACCGGAGGTACAAGGCCAGGATGCCGACCCACCTGAGGGAAACAAGGAGGTCAGCCATCAGTCCCGGGGCTGCTCTGCCAAACACGACAGAAGGAAATAAAAGGAGCCATCGTTCCCTTCCACGGGCGAGGTCGGTTTTGAAATACTATGCTCATCAATAAAAATCTACAAAGTCAGCCGGTTTGGCTCAGTGGATAGAGCGTCAGTCTGCAAACTGAAAGGTCCCAGGTTCGATTCCCGTCAAGGGCATGCACCTTAGTTGCGGGCACATCCCCAGTAGGGGGTGTGCAAGAGGCAGCTGGTGGATGACTCTCTCTCATTGATGTTTCTAACTCTATCTCTCTCTCTTCCTCGCTGTAAAAAATCAATAAAATATATATTTTTTTAAAATCTACAGTCACCCAGGCCTGCGGCTTTTCACAATGCGCTTTCTACTTCCCGTGCTTGCACAACGTCTTGCGCTGTGCCCGCAGGAAGGCACGAGCGGCGTTCACAGCCGTAAGGAAGGAAGCAAACAGCACGATTCAGAAATGCACGCCTGGAACACCAGCACCCTGGGGTGCTTGCTACGTTATTAACAGGAGAAGTCCCACTTCTGTGGATCCACAAGACGCGGAGAAGCACCCACTGGAGCCTGCTGTGTCTGACACAGAAGGCCGAGCGGGAGGGGAGCGAGCCTGCAGCGGCTGGTGGGGAGGGAGCGCGGGGAAACCACAAAGGAGAAGCATCCCGGACGCACAAAGGTTTTGCAATCCGGTGGGTGCACCGCGATGGAAGTGGAGCTCGTTCAGCAGCGCACAGCCTGCCTGGCAAGAGTTAGGACTCCAGCCCAGACCAAGGATCCCAGGCCCGCGGAAAGGAACTAGGTAGGTGGCGTGTGCTTTTGTCGGTTGTGACACTGTGAGCCCGTGGCTAGGAAGCGTGGGACCTGACCTCGGAAAGGCTTAGCCCTCAAAACTAGGGACTACTCAGGAGCAGGTCCCAACGTGGCGGGCTTTTCTTTCTTTCCCCTCACGAACCGACTTTTAAAAAAGTAACCAATAACCTTTTTGAGTGTTATTCCTCGCTCAGCCCTCTGAGGACAGACCTCGGGCCCCCCTTCCACTGCCCGCGGACCCCACGCTGGGCAAGGCGCGAGGGCGCGTGCCAAGCCCGCCCGCTGCGGGCGGGACGCGGCCGGCGGCTCAGGAGGCACCGAGCCGCGCCGGGCGCTCCGTCACGGGCAGGTGCACCGCGAGGTGCCGGGCGGGCGCGGCAGGCTGAGGAGGCAGAGCCCCGGGCCACGGCTTTCCAGGGGCGCCCGGCGGCTCGCACCGGGGCCCGGCGGGCGGCCCGGCACGCCTCCCGCTCTGCCTCAGTCTGCCGGCTGTAAAATGGGGGGAATAACAGCACCCGCTCCTCAGGGGGAGGGAGAGGACTAGACACGGGGACGCCGGGCCAGCCTGGGGCACTGCCACGCACTCCTCCCGGACGGCTGCCCGCCCGCCCGCCCGCCCGCGCCCTCCTGGGGCCCCGCGCCCTCACCACAGCGCCCGCAGGAACAGCTCGAACAGCCCCGGGAAGAACAGGTCGTCGCTGGCGATGGCCCAGCGCCGGCCGAAGAGCACCATGCCCGGCATGGCGGAGGTCGCGCCGCCCGGCCCCGGTCAGCCCGCCGCGCCGCTCCGGATCCGCGCCCCGCGCCCCGCGCCCTCCGGGCTCCAACTAAACTGGCCGCCGCCCGGCGCACGCGCACGCGCACGCGAGCGGGGCCGGGCGCATGCGCACGCCGAGGCCGAGCCTGGCGCGCGCGGCGGGGCGCTCTGCGCGTGCGCGGGTGCGGGGCCAGGGGCACGCGGGCGGCTCCGGAGCCGATAAGCTGGGTGGAGGGCAAAACCCGTCCCGCCGACCTCCTCCCGGGAGGACCCGGCGGCGCCCAGACCCCGGCCGTTCGCGCCGATCCAGGCCTGCGGCGTGTGGCCCGCTCTGTGCGTCCCTGGGCGGGAGGAGGGAGCAGGCGATCCTGCTAGAGCTGAGAACCTGCGACCGCCACCACCGTGGTCGGCAAACTGCGACTCGCGAGCCACAGGCGGCTCTTTGGCCCCATGAGTGTGGCTCTTCCATAAAATACCATGGCCTGGGCGAGACTATTTAGAAGAAGTGGCGTTAGAAGAAGTTTATTTTAAAAAGTTTGGCTCTCCAAAGAAATTTTGGTCGTTGTGCTGTTGATATTTGGCTCAGTGGAAGAATGAGTTTGCCGACCGCTGACCTGGCAGCCTGGGGCTGGGACTGGAGCTGGGGCCTAGCCTCCGGAGCAGGCGGCGCTCAGTGCCTCCTGACCCGTCTCAGCACCTCCCCTCTCCTCCTCCCTGGTCCGGCCTGGACTCAGCGCCCATCCTTCTGCCCTGCCTCCCCCCACAGTGACCCAGCCCATCCTCCGCTTGGATCTTGCAAGCCTTCACTTTGTATATTAAATGGGCTCCGATCTCCAACCCCCCGGCCTTTCCCTAATAGTCACATATCACCAGTCTATAATAAGTGTGTATCGATCTCCCTAAGGGGTTACCACTCTCCCTCCATCACCCCACTACCTGCCTCCTAGTATTCCTCAGATCCCTGAGGGCTCCTTACATTCTGTTTCCTCTGCCTGGCATGTTCCTCCCTCAGGCATTTCCCTGTCACTCCTTCATTCAGGCTTCAGCTCAGCGTCACCACCTCCAACAGGCCTCCCCCCACCTTATCTAAAACAGCTCACCCGCCGTTCCCATTCCCCTCCCACACTCAGCTTTCTTCACCGCACTTGACCACTCCCTGTCCTTCATGCTTATTACCTCTCCCTCCGCCCTCACACAGACTCCCTGTCCATCTCGGTTCACACAATGGGACACATTAAACATTCCATGAATGAATGAATGAACAGACTTACTAAAGCTTTCTGAGTTCTTCTAAAGGACATCATTTCAGGGCTAAAAATATTGGAATTGTGCTGATGGTTGTCAAAATGATACAGTCTTGTAAATAGGGAAATTATGAGGTTTTTATAGAAAAAGCCATTCATTCTTTCACAAAATTAGTATTTACTGGGCACTTGATTAAACAATGAAGAGTCAGGGAAGGTACCCCTGAAGGAGATATTGAAATGAGATGTTTTTAAATATATTTTATTGATTTTTTACAGAGAAGAAGGGAGAGAGCTAGAAACAACGATGAGAGAGAAACATCGACCGGCTGTCTCTTGCACATCCCCCACCGGGGAGGTGCCCGCAACCAATGTACATGCCCTTGACCGGAATCGAACCTGGGACCTTTCAGTCCGCAGACCGACGCTCTACCACTGAGCCAAACCGGCTTCGGCTGAAATGAGATCTGAAGGAAAAGTAGGAATTAAGAGGGTAATTCAGAAGTTAGAAGGTTACACCTGGGATCACACATATTCTTAAATGTAATTGTTCCCTTTTGAAAACAGAATTCGTGAGGCTTAGCGATAATGCTTCTACATAAACTTTTGTTAGTAAAGGTACATGTGAAAAGCATATTAGTCCCTTATTTTAAACACAGGTTTTTCAATTTTCTGCTATTAAAACATATTTTAGCCCTAGCCGGTTTGGCTCAGTGGATGGAGTATCAGCATGGTGACTGAAGGGTCCCTGGTTCAGTTCTGTCAAGGGCATGTATCTGGGTTATGGGCTCATTACCCAGTAAGGAGCATGGAGGAGGCAGCCAATCAATGATTCTCATCATTGATGTTTCTGTTTCCCCCTCTTCCTTCCTCTCTGAAATAAATTTTAAAAATATATTTTAAAATAGACTTGTTAAAAAAGGTCTATTTTAAAAATAACTTTGTTATTTCCAAAACGGAACTCCACAGCAAAGCACAGCTCTTGAAAGGGTAAATGACAGTCCTGACTTTTTTTTTTATGATGAAAATGTTCAAATACAGAGATGAGGGATATCTAAGACCTAGCACCCCTGCCATATTTGCTCCATCTTGATTTTTGGGAGAGAAAAACCTTTGGTATCCTTCTCTGCTGCTATTTCAGATTAATTTCACCATTTAATTGCAAACTGTATTTTTCAGAGATTTTTTTGTTGTTAAATCCTCATCTGAGGATATTTTTTCCGTTGATTCCTAGAGAGTGGGAGGGAGTAACATGGATGTGAAATGTGAGACACATCAACTGCCTGCCTGCCGCATGCACCAGGCAGGGACCCTGCAATCCGGGTATGTGTCTTTGACCAGGAATCAAACCTGAAACCCCTTGGTCCATGGGCTGACACTCTAATCACTGAGCAAAACTGGTCAGGGCTGTTCAGACTTTCTTGGCATTTCATCTCATCTTCATATTAAGCTGGAGAAACGGATTTTTACTCTCACTTTCCCAAATCACTGGATTCATCTCCTACTCTCTCTCTCCCTTTAGGACTTGATTTTCTTTGAGTAAGTTTCTATCCTGAATAAAATGAATAATATCCTTGCAGTTAAGGTTTGCTGCTGCAAACGGTTAGCCAGGGGTGTTCAGTTTTAGCCAGGTGAGCTTTCTTTGGATCGCTGCTTCTAAGCAATTTAGTCCCAGGATCTTGTTTTCAGAACTTGAAAGTCACTGTTTTTAGTTTCAGGGCACACCAGTTTCCCTGCTACAGAACCATTTATTGTCTTAGAAACCTCATGAGTAAATAGGTTTTGTATTTTCATTGTTTTGGTAATGGAGTCAAATGTCATGAAGTGTTTGCCTACAGACCTCGCCTTTTGTCCATCTGGGTGTGACTCAGCTGTTGGAACGTCCACCCAGGAATAAAATCACTGGTGTAGCTCTAACTGGTTTGGTTCAGTGGATAGATCAGCCTGTGGACTCAAGGGTCTCAGGTTCGATCCTGGTCAAGGGCATGTACCCTGGTTGCGGGCACATCACCAGTAGGGGGTGTGCAGGAGGCAGCCAATGATGATTCTCTCTCATCATTGATGTTTCTATCTCTTCTTCTCCCTTCTTTCTTCTCTAAAATCAACAAAAAATATTTTTTTAAAAAGGACCTCACCCTTTAGGTGCCCAAAGTGAAACTAGAAGTAGAGATTTCAAGTATTCTAGTATTGTAAGAAATAGTGCCCTTGATAGTGCTATATGATTTCAATTTACTTCTAAATTGAATAGGTAGTAGACAAACCCACAGCACCTGTGAAGCACTTGTATCGAATGCGGGGAAGCGGTGGTACATACTGGGAGAAACACAGGATCCCTGGAAATTCCACCTTCAGCTGGAGAGGGTGAGGCACACAGAAAACCCCCTGGCATTTTCACAGACCGCACCGGGATGGGGAGTTTGGGAAAGTTCCGGGAGTCATGTCTATTAGATGCCTCTCTCCCACAGGGCAGAGCTGGCCACGGCCAGCAAACGGGCCAGAGGGACTCCTGACCGAATGGTTCTGCCAGCTTTGAGGCAGCTGTTCCCAGCTCAGCATAAAGGGTGGAGCACCTACAGTGCTCCAAGCTGAGTCCTGAGCTCCCACACAGACTGATACTTCACCGACACGGGAGGCATCTAACCGACCGGGGGCGAGGCTCATGTGCAACCCAGGGTCCCAGCACCGTGTGGGGAGTCAGGGCTCATCACACAGGCCGCCGAGATTGTGCAGCTCCTCCTCAAGCTCCCCACTGGCCACTGCTATCGAAAGGAAGTCATCGGGGACCTTCCCAGGAAGCTGCCCAGCCCAGTGGCTTTCTGGAAAGGCCTTCCACCTGTCTCTCTACCTTCTCTCTCTCTCTCTTTTTTTTTTTTTTTTTTAATATATTTTATTGATTTTTCACAGAGAGGAAGGGAGGGATAGATAGCTAGAAACATCGATGAGAGAGAATCATCGACCAGCTGCCTCCTGCACACCCCCTACTGGGGATGTGCCCGCAACCAATGTACATGCCCTTGACCGGAATCGAACCCCGGACCTTTCAGTCCGCAGACCAACGCTCTATCCACTGAGCCAAACCGGTTTTGGCTCTACCTTCTCTTTTGACCGGACTGAAAAGGAGCAGGAAATGCCATTCCAAGTCGGACTGAACTGGGCAAGGAACGGACAGGTTTTTGTAAGCAGCCAATGGCCGGCAGCTTTTCAGAGTGATCACCTAGTGGGCAATGCGTTTCCTGTGTTAACTTGGCTTTATTTCTGTGCGCTCAGTTTTACAAGTCCACACAAACAAAATAAAACAACACCATAAAAAAGATTAGTTACCTGCCAGCCTTTATTCAGGAAGTGAGTTACTCTGAAACAGTGCTGCAAAAGGCGAGGCAGCCCAGGCCTTTGTTCTGCCATGTGCCGGGCACTGCCCGGGCCCTGCCCTCCCGTGGGCAGCCTGTTTATTAAGGTGTCTTTCCGGTTGGGCACAACATGGTGATCGCATCTCAGCCGGTTTTATTTTTACTTGGGCAGTGGCCAGAGAACACAGGAACTTCATCAGTCAGGCGGCATGCTGGGGTCCTAGGCCAAGGTCGGGTGCTGTGCTGACCGTGGTCGAGCCTGCTGGGGTCTGGGTTACATGCACGGGAGCCTTCGAGATCCCCCGCCCGTCCCCAGTAGGGCAGCAAGCAGTCTGCTCCTCTAGTGTCAGGATTTCCTCCCCTTCTTCCAGAATCTTCCAAGGAGGATGAAAACAGACACTAAACCAGACGAGGATGCTGGAAAGAGATACTGATACACAAAAGCAAAACCAAGAGGCAAGGAGAGAAGCGAACTGAAAGGAAAAGACGGGAGGTTAGGCCATGCACAGCCACCGGAGAAAGCTGCTGAGACCCGGATAAAAACAAACCCACTCAGCCTCCTTCCTCCATAACGCAGCAAGCCTATGCCCCTCTTGTAGTAAGTGCTGTTAGTGTTCAATACTTTAACAGTTACGGTGCATTCATATGCTTTTGCATAAGTCATAAGTCAAATCTAATGGCAAAATCAGGATGAAAAATTCCAATTTTTCCACAAACTACAGAAAGTTCCAGATTAAGTCGACAACAAACGTTTGCAGCCCTGTATAGAGCTTTGGTTGCCAAATGAACAATAAACAAAAAAGTAATCCTGACACAGGATGTTTCAAAAGCCTAATTCATGAAAGAGACAATTTTTTGTATGTTTAATAAAATGTTTATTAAGGTGGTAACACAAGATAAATCATGCAAGAGCTCCGTAAAAACAAAAAAGTAAGAATATAAGGAATGGTAATTGGTGCTGCCAATTTAAAAATATCAATCATTTTACTACCCGAAGTTATTGGGAAAAGTGTTGGAATCTGAGCATGGACATGGTTGTAGCAATCTTGTGGAACGTAAACTAAAGTGATAGGTGACTCCTTGCGTTCTAGTCCTCAGAGGAGTCAAGTCATAGATCCAAAACCATCATCGTGTCCCTCGCATCCTGCACTCACATGGCAGCCCAGAATCCCTGCCCACCGAGTCCTTCTACGCCCGTGGGACAGTCCCAAATGGACACCTCTGAGCAGGGGAGGGGAGCAGGCACCTTTGGTGATTCTCAAATGAGACTCGGTCCACATTCAGAATCTTAACCTCTGTGGTGGTGAGAACCACAGACTTGCATGTCATCCTTACCAGCCTTAAATGTAGTGTGCTGTCCAAGGGAGGGTTTCGTATCCGGTGGAAGAAATTGGGACAGATACACCAAATTGAACATAGCATCTCAGATTTCAAACAAATTTGTCCTATCTTTTGGCAAAAAATAAATATAGTGGAATGCAAGTTTAATAGATGGAAGAATATATAATCTACCAACTGTCAAGGAGTATGATTTCATTGCAGACACAAAGAATCAAAAGTTTCAAAGAATTTTTTAAAAAAAAAGAAGTTTGCACTATTTCTCACAAAATCTTCACTTTTGGAACTACCCCAATAGAAGCTACACACTGAATTTATTAATACAGCATTAAGTTTCTTTGTGTAAAAAAACCTTTGTACATAGTAATAAAAAAAGATAAGGCAAGATGCATTAAACAGAAACCTCCTGGTTCTTTTCCTCTGGTTCTTACAGAGCCACTGATGACGATCTGCAACAAAAGAGTGAAGTTTCTGCTTTTCCGTATCGAGCATCTGTGCCTTTGCTGTGGTAGGAATTCTGTCCGAGCACCCTGAAGGACAGAGGCTGGTGGTGGTCTTTGGCACTTACGCTGGCAGACTGAGCTTCTTTCCCTTGAGTACTAGAATTTGAGGAAAACAAAAGATTACTGACAGTGACATGCTCGCGGTTTCCTTCCTCCCATTCCCAGAGGCCAAAATCAGGTTCAAGGAAACAAGCTTTTGCCAACCAAGTCATTGGATTTTGATGTCAACAAACAAGAGCCTGCTCAACTACGAAAATGTCACGCACACATATGCTGGGGTTTTCATGTACTGGATGTCATAGCAATTATAGTTAAGAAAATACAAACTTAACTGAAATTGTTGCTACATTCACAGCAGTTATTATCATGACTTTCTTCCCTAATCAACATATATTAAAAAGTAACTATCACTATGCCTATAAAATTTGGACCTTACAAAAGGGATAAGACCCTAGCCGGTGTGGTTCAGTGGTTGAAGTCAACCCATGAAACAGGAGCTCACGGTTTGATCCCTCATCAAAGCACATGCCAGGGTTTCAGACCCAATTCCCAGTAGGGAGGGTGCGTGCCAGAGGTAGCCAATCGATGGTTCTCTCATTGATGTTTCTCTCTTTCTCCTCTTCCCTTCTCTAAACTCTCTCTAAAATCAATAAAAGCATATTTAACAAAAAAGGAGGGATAAGATATATATGCCCTGGTACCAGCAATAACACCACCATTGGGAATTTACTGTATAGCAACAGTTCTTAGCCTGGGGTCTACCGCTGGGTTCAGGGTCTCCTGAACCCTCTAAAACTATATGCATAAATATGCATATGCATTTTTTTTTCCCCTGATCAAGGACCATAGTTTTCACCTGAGTTTTGTGAAGTTCACATTCCTACATTCACATAAATGCAAAAATGTACATATACAAGGATGCTGACTTAAGCACTAGATTTTAACAGCAAAATAGCAGTGGTAGTGTGACTATCCATGAACTGGCTAAGGAAATTACGGTAATACACATAATGTTGAAAATCACATATATTCTATTTACTGACATGAACTGAGTGGGAAAAGGCAGATTAGGTGTAGTTAACCACGTATCTGAGAGATCTGGAATTCCATTTACTAAAATGGTAATAAGGATTTCTGAGTGATAGGATTTCAGGTGGCTGTTTTCAGAATTATTAGTTCTGACTGAATTTCTGACAATGAAAATGTGCCATTGTAAAAAAATACAGCTACAGCCAAAAGGAGAAAGACTCAACACCAGATCCAGAACTGAATTTCACAGCCCATTACAAGCTCTTCTGCAGCCGGTTCTGATTCATAAAGCTAGAGCAGAGCAGAAGCGCGCGGCTAGGGAGTCTGAGGGACAGGCAGGGCACAGCGCGTACCTTTCGTGATGTACAAGTAGAAGAAGTCGCAGTAGAGGATGGTCTGGACAACGCCGGCCACCACAGCGATGAGGTCAAAGAAGCCCTCGAAGTAGAAGCGCCAGATCCAGTTGACGAGATACAGCGCCCGGTAGAGGCCCAGGAAGAACAGGTAGTGGGTGGTGATGGTCTCCGCCTCCCCGGTCTTGCTGATCATGAAGAGCTGCGGGAGGATGGCCACGGATTCCAGGTAGATGGAGAAGGTCCACAGAATCTGTAAGGCAAACAGAGGATCCTTCAGCACCCAGCGCCCGCCACGGATCACAGGAAACACTGGTTTTGCTGTGGAAGAGTGCAGCAAGCGGGGAGTCCGTGCCTGAGCCCAGGACAGGGCAGCTGAGCAATTTCCTGTCACGGACACGCCCAGTAACAAGCTGGGTCACCTTGGACACCTCTACCTCTATGAAGGTTATTACCTCGTCTCTCCACCATCGCATCCTTCCCTGTACACATCTCTGCGAATCTACAGAGAGGCTGTTTCTCCTGGATAAGCTCGTTCCAGTCTGATTCTAGGGTCCCGAGGCAACCCTGCTTCCTGCCAGGGTGGACCACACTGCCACCCAGGCCCACTCCACTCCCTCTGCCAGTGTTCCTCCCAGCTGGCCTCCTCTCCAGACTCCAAATAGTCTATTCTTACTCTTCAGGCTCTTTTGGCGGGTTAAACCAGAGGAGGGAAGAAATCGGAGTTGTTATTATGCAAACTCTGCCCAACATGGTACTTTATTCACGCCTATGGCAGGACTCGGTAGCATCCTTGGAGTGTTTCACAAGCCCAGGCCTGCAGCACCGCTCAGAGAACCAAGAGCAGCGCAGTAACTGACTCAGGTGCTGAGGGGGTCATGACCCCCAGGTGCTGAGGGAAGGACTGGGCACTGAGGGGCCGCCACAGCCTCACAGTGCCAGGGCACCATGCAAACAGCATCGATGTGTACATTAGGGGAAACAGAGCTGGCGAGAGTGGGGAGAAGATCCTGTTCAGTGAACATGCAGACGGGCAGAGTGTTTGGTACCTCAAAAACCGACTACCTGGGGTTAACTTCTGCTCACCATTTATGTATACCCAAGAGTTTCTGTTGCACCAGAAGTTTGCCAACTGAAAAAGCACACCAGAACCCACATTGTCTACAAACAGGTCCTTTTCCCTAGGGGACCAGACCTGTCCACTAAATAACCTCTTCACTGACCTCAAGAGGAGAGAAATCATGATTGACTAGAAACGAGAGTCCTCCCACAGGGACCACCAGAAACTCCACTCGGAAGGTATCATGGTTTCCGTCGTAAGTTGCCTTAAACTTCATGTAGATGAGGTACACTGTGGCGTAGGAGCAGGCAATGTAGATAAGCTAAAGCAAAAGAAAACACCAGGTCATCAATGCTTCCACCTTCCTTGGCTGTCTGCATCATTCATATTCACACACACACACACACACACACACACACACACACACACACACTAGAGGCCTGGTGCACAAAATTCGTCCATGGGGGGGCCCTCCTGCACCCTCAGGGGATGGCAGACAGACATTCCTCTCGCAATCCGGGACGCTGCACACACCTGTGACCATATTTTTCATGCAGGTGAAAGGCATCGTGCTGTTGTATGGGCAGCTACTTTTTCACCTTGATTTTAAAAAGTAGTGCAAAACATGCCGAAGCCGGTTTGGCTCAGTGGTAGAGTGTCGGTCTGCGGACTGAAAGGTCCCAGGTTCGATTCCGGTCAAGGGCATGTACATTGGCTACGGGCACATCCCCAATAGGGGATGTGCAGGAGGCAGCTGGTCGATGTTTCTCTCTCATCGACGTTTCTAGCTCTCTATCTCTCTCCCTTTCTCTCTGTAAAAAATCAATAAAATAGCCGAGACTGGTTTGGCTCAATGGATAGAGCGCCGGCTTGGGGACTGAAGGGACCCGGGTTCGATTCCGGTCAAGGGCATGTACCTTGGTTGCGGGCATATCCCCAGTAGGGGGTGTGCAAGAGGCAGCTGATCAATGACTCTCTCTCATCGATGTTTCTGGCTTTCTATCTCTCTCCCTTCCTCTCTGTACAAAATCAATAAAATATATTTAAAAAAAAAAAAAAAAAATCAATAAAATATATTTTTTTAAAAAGTAGTGCAAAACATGATCCTTCTGAGGCAGTAGTACCCTTTTCCCTCATATGGTAGAAAAACTGAAGTGGAGAGAAGTTAAGTAATGAGCTTTATCACACAGGTATGTGTCAGAATCAGGACTGACCACAAAATGTACAAGCAGAGTCCATGCATGTCATCACTGCATCATCCTGTTTTTTCAGTTAAGAGTAGCTTTGCCAGGTTTTAACTTTTAAATCTAAGAAACTGTTCCCAATATATAGAGTAGGGTCCCTAGGCCTGGCCGGAGATCAGAGCCAATCTGGGGAGTGACTGGCTATCTGGTAAGAGGGGCAATCGGGGCCCCTCCTGGCACCTGCCTTGGCTTGTGGCCTGGCACTGCCTGCTCACTAGCCTCGCCCCTCCTCCCCCACCTCACCGTCACTGGTCACCTCCCTCTGTACATCTGCCCCCTGGTGGTCAGTGTGCATCCCAGTGACTGGTTGTTCCACCAATTGTTCAGCCGTTTGGTTTTATTATAATTATTTTCATTTAAAATTTTAAATATAGCCTGGCCAGTGTGGCTCAGTTGGTTGAGCATGGTCCCATTCACCAAGAGGCCGCAGATTCAATTCCTATCAGGGCACATGCCTGGTTTGCTGGTTCAATGAATCTCCCTCATCGATATTTCTCTCCCTCCTTCTCCCTTTCTCTTTCAATAAAAAAAACGTATTTTAAAAAAACTTAAGTATAGTAAAATTCACTTTTTGGGGGGTATACAGTTCTATGAGTCATATAACCACCGCCACAGTCAAAAAACAGATCAGTACTGTCCCCCCACAAAATTCCCTCATGCCGCCCCTCAGTGGGTAAGCCTTCCCCTGAGGCCTGACCTCTGGCAATCTCAGATCTATTCTTGGTCTCTGTAGTTTTGACTTTTCTAGAATGCGCAAAAATGGAATCATACGATATGCTGACTTTAATTAGCACTATGCATCTGGTATATTAATAAAACAAGTGACTCTTTCCTGCTGTTGAACAGCAGCAGCAGCCCACTGTGCGTGCTACCAGTCTGTTCCCCACGCACCGGTTAGGACAGGTGGGCTGTTTCCGGCTTGGGGGATAAAAGCTGCTATAAACTTTTGTGTACAGGCTTTTGTGTGACTTTTCATTTCTCTTGGGTAAATATCTAGGAATGGGATTGCTGGATCATATCTCAACACATGTTGCGGACCAGTGGTTTTACTGCTAGCTTTACCCAGTGGTCAGGTAAGTTTCAATTGAACGAGTTCAAAAAATGTTTTACATAAATGTTAAAGGCACGCTTTAAAATTAAATACCCATTGCATTTTGAAGTTATTTATTACATGTTCTTATAAGCTAATAACTTTTTAAAGCCTTCTTGTGATTGGCCACAAGCCTTAGAAAACACAAGAATTCTCATGATCCATCCGCAATGTATTAAGTATAAGTGTAACTATAAGGAACTGCCAAAGAATGTATTTTTAAATCCCATTTTGAACTATTAGAATGTAGCTTAAGAAAAAAAAAAGGAATGCAAAGTTCAACGCAGTTCAAAACCAATGTATTTTCTTTCAGCTTCGTAATATTTCTTAATACTGCTTTTTAAAGATAAATTAATGTAACTAATCTTAAACTTTATAAACTGGTGGTTTTTACTTAAATTATATTCCTTTAACACTGAACTTCAGATTGTTGCTATGAAACTTTGGTAACATAACAAAACCAAAAGCAAAAGCAAATGTAGGCAGTAAAACACTGCTGCCTATGCCCTGACCAGTTTGGCCCGGTGGATGGAGCATCGGTGGATAGAGCATCAGCCTTTGGACTGAAGGGTCCCAGGTTCGAGTCCGGTCAAGGGCATGCACTCTGGTTGCAGACACATACCCAGAGGGGGGTGTGCAGGGGGCAGCTGATCTATGTTTCTCTCTCATCAATGTTTCTAACTCTCTATCCCTCTCCCTTCCTCTCTGTAAAAAATCAGTAAAATATATTTTTAAAAAAAACAAAAACAAAAACTGCTGCCTACAATAGGGAGTGATTTCAGCTGCATCACTTAAGGTTTGTAATTATGTAATACTAGGCCTGGTGCACGATATTCGTGCAAGAGTAGGCCTTCCTTCCCTCTCTGACACCCAAGACCAGGCTTTTCTCAGAGTTCCGGCTTCATCCGGAAGGTCGTCCAGAATGACGTCTGGTCAATTAGCATATTATGATTTTATTATTACAGATGTTCCTGCATTCATCCAACCAAAAGAAAAGTCTGACATTCCTAAATGACACGAATTTTCAGACAGCAGAATTTAGGCTCGGGAACCAAACAGCAGGGTTGGCCTGTGGGTAAAGAAAACATGAAGACCAGCGGCACTGCCAGTGCTACTCCTTAGGAAGAGCACCTTGCACAGCTTAATTATGACACTTTTGGGCAAGTGACATAACAGGACAATGAAAGCCATCAGCAAGCCCTTTGGTTTTGCTTCAAAACAAAGACACTAAACTGTCCCTGGCACCTTGTCATGAGTTGTATTTGCAAATAGTAAAGTATTAAAATTGTTGATCATACCCCAAACAAAAAAGAACTACCAAAAAAAAAATCAAGATTAATCTTATTATAAGCATAGCCAATGGACGCAAAACTCGGGGGGTGAGGGCATGAAAGGGAGGAGGGAAGGGCAATGGTAAGGTATGTACACATCTAATACCTTAATAAAAAAATGAAAGAAAGATTTGTTGGAGTTCTCTCCACACACAAAATCCATGTGTAGAGTCCCCACTAGCAGAACGTCTGGCCGAGGAACACGGTTGCCAGGGTGCCTGCCCAGCATCCAGGCTATGGCCTGACCAGATTATGTCCATAAGGCTTAGCAGCCTCTGGGGAGAGCAGCGCCTTCTCTCTACTCGGTGCTTTGGCACTTGAAGTAAAAAGCTATGAGCATATAAAACTCGACTTATACTTCTCTGATTCTTAGGATGTGCTGGGAAACTAGAGCCACACAGGATTCTTCTGAAGGCTCGGTATCCTGGGGGGGGGGGGGGAGGGTGTTCTTGCTCCCACACTTCCAATTTTAACTTGTCCTGCCGTTTTAACTTGCATGGACAAGCAGGGACACAGGCATTTGTAAGTAAGCCAATTTCCTAATGACTAAGCTCCCATCACTTAGAAATGAAGAATGGAATGATTACTGGCAGCTCAAATTTGCTTTTTAGTAAAGATGACAGACTCAAATATTGCTTTCTACTCTGACCTGTGCTTATTAAAATGCTTTTGAACACAAAGTGTTGTGGAATTGTTTCAAATAAAACACCACGCCCTAGCCAGCTCAGGTGACAGAGCCTCAGCTTGAGGACTGAAGGGTCCCAGATTCCATTCTGGTCAAGGGCATGTTCCTCAGTTGCAGGCTCAATCGCTGGCCCTGATCAGGGCTTGTGTGGAGACAACCAATCAATGTCTCTCTCACATCCATATTTCTCTCTCTCTGTCTCTCCCCTTTCCTTCCATTCTCTCTAAAAATCCATGGAAAAATATCCTCAAGTGAGGATTAACAAAAATAATTTTAAAAAATCCAAAACCCAATACCACATCAATAAGCTTCAGTTAAACATTATTTTCTTGGCTGTGCAAATAATCAAGTATCTACAACATTGCCTGGCACACTCTCACTAAGCACCTGAATGAATGAATGAATGAATGAATGAAATCAGACTCCTTTTCACATCCTGAGAGCCCCCTACTTTTCCTCCATAGTACCCATTACAAACCACAGCCATTCATTCAGAACTGCGAAGACCATGGTGGTCCATGAGGTCTGAAAGGCTGGCAACCGCTGGTCTCCACTCCCCACCAGATCTTGACTTCAGCTTGCTTCCTGCCTGTCCTGGTGCCAGGGAAATGCTGCCCCCATCATCTTCCCCCACCCCACCCCACCCCCCGTGCCCTATGGGCACTCTGCTTCTCCTAGTGTGGAGTGGGAGCCCCCAGTGCTGCACAGGGTGTTAAGTATATGCAAATGTTTTGTATTTTAATAGTCAGACATTTGTTTAATGTGAATTGGGAAAAATATACAGACACTAAAGGTAGCACTGATACTAATGTTGAGGATAAATTAGAAGGTTTAAATACATATTTAGTAAATTATGGCACATTTAAGCTTGGCAAAAATAATAAAGATGGCACATACAGCAGAAGTTGATGAAACATGGACTTAGTGGGGAAATAAAAGGGTAAAGGCCTAAGATAGTCCCTCAGCAGCAAAAGAAGGCTCCGCCGCAGGAGCTGGGCTTTCACTCCTGGCCCTGCACCCATTGCTGGTTTGCCAGGAGTCTCAGTTCCTGCTACTTAAAACATAAAAGTTTCCCTCTTTCTCTCTCTCGTTTTGCTTTCCAAAGAGTAATTTATAGATTTTTAGAGAGAGGGGAAAGGAGAGGGGGAGAGAAACACTGATGTACAAGCACATCTTCAATCAGCTGCCTCTTGCACACCCCCTACCAGGGATGGAGCCTACAACCCAGGCATGTGCCCTTGACCAGGAATCGAACTGGCAGCATCTTGGGGATGATGCCCAACCAACAGAGCCAACTGGCCAGGGCTTACCCCTCTTTCTTATAGGATTATCAAGAGCATTAGAAATTTGTCATACTTGCTGGGACCGGTTTGGCTCAATGGATAGAGCGTCGGCTTGGGGACTGAAAGGTCCCGAGTTCGATTCCGGGCAAGGGCATGTACCTCGGTTGCGGGCATATCCCCAGTAGGGGGTGTGCAAGAGGCAGCTGATCGATGACTCTCTCTCATCGATGTTTCTAACTCTCTATCTCTCTCCCTTCCTCTCTGTATAAAATCAATAAAATATATTTTTAAAAAAAAAATAAAAAAAAAAAAAAAAAAAAAAAAAAAAAAAAAAGAAATTTGTCATACTCAAGGAACTTAAGATTTAAAAATTTCTAAGTACAAAACATTTAATTAAATAGATACTGCTCTGAAATGGGAAAAAAATGCTCAATGTTTCCATAGATCTGTGAATTATGGATGAAATACATTCCACTGGATGCCATACCCACCTTCATAGATGTATTATATAATGAAATGAATGAAGTAAAAAGATCCAGGTATCGAGTTGTGAAGACCAGTGCAAAGAGAAGCTGGCTTTTTCCGGAAATACCTGAAGAAATAAAAGGAAAGTGTTGGAAAAGCGCGAAGAGCATTCACTCGTGTAGATAACACTGTGCAGCAAGCAGATCTGGAGAATGGGACACCAGGCCCAAAGGCTAATGTCTGGGATGCCTCTGAATAAGTGAGTTTTCATTTTCCTTTCCCTTCACGTTCTAGAACATGCTCCTCTGGGGAGGTTCTTAGTATGATGGGGCTGGAGCCAATATACCAGGTTGCACATTGTCCAGATGAACATTTATTTCTCAATTATGTCACGTTAGTCTGCTGTTATTTACTGTGGTAGCTCATCTGTCACCTCTAGCACCTTTCTTTCCGTTAGGAAACAGCACCTCATGTGACAAATCTTTCAAGGATGGAGCTGGACTCTCTGGTCGAGGCGACGAGGAACACTGCTTCAGGTCAGAGTCTGAGCCAAGGTCACTTCTTTTGTGACTTAGACACATTACAATGTTTTAAAATTCCATCTCTTAGATTCATCATACAATCAACCTCACGCTCACACAGCCAGTCTTCAAAAGCAGCAGTCTTTTTTTTAACCCCTTGAAACTGTTTCCACATCCAGAGTACTGCTGTGATACAACTGGAGTCAGCTGGAAGTCCAGGTCACACCCAGCATGCACTGGGCTTTGACATTTGGCCAAATATTTGTGAAAAGGACCTGCACTAAGGTCTCCAGTTGGAGACTGAGTGACTTCATTAAGGAAACAGAACCCATCCCCCTCATCAACACTGCAAATCTCACACCATTAGACTTCCGGAAGTATGTGCAGGTCTGTTACTTCACGCAAACTAGCAATACACCTACAGAATGTAAGATCCTTACCCAAGAACATGTTTATTGATTTTAGAGACAGAGGAAGAAAGAGAAAGAAACATCAATTGGTTGCCTCCTGCATGTGTTCCAACCGGGACTGAACCTGCAGCCTCGATATGTGTCCTGACAGGGAGTCATACCCACAACCCCAACTAACCGAGCCACCTCTCCAGGGCAAAATCACATTTTAAAAAATAGTGTTTTACAGAACAATTTTGCAGCTTGTTGAAATTAAATGCCTGGATCTGAGGACGTTACTTCCTATGTTTGGATAACTGCAGTTCTAGCCTATTCACAAAAACACCTAAGGAGAAATGACTCCAGACCCATCAATAGTAACCAACCTCAAGGCTGGGAGTGGAGCTGCAGACAGTAAGACTGCTCTTTTTAGCTTTTCTCCCCGGAATGAGAAACTTTATTTTCCTACTGAAGTTCAATGTTCCACAGAAGAGGAGAGCTGAACAGAATGAGAGAAGACACAGTGGGAAGGGAGAGATCAGGGGCTCTGTGATTCACATTTGGTGTTTGCTGGAGCCTTGGAAGATAAATGTTAGTGAATTTCCTATATGGCTCACTCCAATATTTTAAATTAAAAACAATTGTAGGATACATATGGGCAAATTTTGCTGCAAATGGTTTATTCTAATGGAACTTTGAAAGCCATTCAGACTTGAAATTTTGTCCTCCAGTTTCAACAATCCTATACTGAAGACCAGGGACTATCATGCTGCTTTTTCCACTCCCCCTCACAACCCAACTTACTATCACTCCCTCTGGAAGGCAACTTTGAAGACCCATCCTCAGTGCTGTTTATTAGACCATGGGAACTGCTCACGCCAGCTGCTACCCCAGGTCCTATTGCAGTACTTATAAAACACCTGTCTCCCCTCTCCCAACCCCCTCCAGACACGGAGATCTTCAAAGGCCTGGGATGTGCCTATTCCATTTGGTATTATTTGTGTTGAGCACTAAGCCTGACACACAACAGGCTAAGAAATATTTGCTAAATCAATGAACAAATGGACAAAAGAAAATGAAATTCATTTAATTTCATGTCATGGGGTGAATTCTCATTTTGTAATACTTCCAAAGTGTTTCTAAGTCATATTGTGTCTCTGTGATTGGAAGAGGACAATATGCTCTGGGCTCTGCCCTAACTTACTGCCCCCAAAGGGCGGGAGAGCCCCGAGCAGCGCACGGGCAGAGGACAGGGACGGGCAGCGTGTGGCTGGAGCTTGCCCCACTGTGCAGAATCAAGCAGGAAGTGCTTTTGTGGAATTTGAGGACACTCACACAGTCCTCCTTTATTCTTTCTGGCCTGGGATCCGATTAGGAAGTAGCAGCTTTGTACTTATTAGGTACAATAATACCTTTATATAAAGTCTACTCACACACATTACAGTTTTTGTTGTTCAGAGTCCCTAGAATTGCTGGGATAAAACATATGCAACTTGCAGTGTGGACACTGCCAAACTTCCCCTAGACAGGCTGTGCCACCTTACCCGTTCACTAACACAGGTGAGAGTCCTCTTTATTTCACACCCCGCCTGCCTTTCCCTCCTGTGAACTGCCAACTCTGTCCATTTTTTCTAGCAGTTTTTTTAATTTTATTGTAGGAGTATCTTATGGGTTTTAACCCTCTGTCACTTAGATATCTTGCAGATTATTTCTCTCCATTCATTGTCTTTTCACTTTGATGATATTCTGAATAAGTTCATTTGGGGAGACGTATGTTCTTGCTTCCTCACCAGTCTGCTTGGTCCCACCCAGAACTAGGGTTTGAACGTGCATTCAGCTCATCTCCTATGTCCATAAGCAAAGTCCTATACCTTTCTTCATAGAGCTTTTACGCACTGCTTGTTGGGAAGTCAGGGGCCCTTCCCGAATCCTTCCTGCAACTTCACATTCACAGGATTGACCGCTTATATGGCTTAATACCCCTATATGTTTACCTTTAAACATATATGTATATACACACATACATATATTATTTCAACTAACTTGCAGCTTTCTTGAGAGCAGAAACTTTGACAGCTGCGAAGTCCCGGGTGCCCTGCACATAGTGGGTGGTCAATAATGTTTAAGAGCAATGAAGACTCAAGAGACTGGCTGGGAATGTGATGCAAAAGCTTCTTGAAGTACTCAATGACAACAACAGAAGATGAGGAATTTAATCTACTTAAAAACTAAACTGAGATTGAGAAACGCAGGGCCACAGTACATGCCTGGTATGTCTGGTAGGATGAAAAGTCTACAGCCTACATGACAACAATCTAAGCCGTAGATGGAGGAGGGAAGGGAGAGACTAGGGGAGGATGGTTGGGGCACCTGGATCTCAGAAGATTCCACTAATAATTTAAGTAAAACAGACACAGCACTATGAATAACTGTCAGCCTACAGAAAATGTAGCTACAAACCCAGGCTTGTTCTCAAGAGGCTATTCAGTGTTTAGGAAAAGAACAAAGTGATAACCTGAGCAAACTGTGGATCCAGTTGCAGCGATTGTTCAGGAATCTAGAAACTCACATTTCCTGTGGCATCCCTCTGTAATGACAATGGCAGACAGACAAGGACAATGCCAATTCAAAGAGAGCTAACCAAGATCGAGTCCTCTGCCCCACTTTAAAACAGGCCCTTTAAGCAGCTGTTCTCAAATTAGACTGCCGGGTAAACCATCTCCAACTTCCTTACTGCCTGCCTCATCCCTGGCCTAAGAGAAAAAAGCCCTCTGGTTCTGTAACTGCAGGCATGTTCAAAACAGGTGCCAAATTCCTAGCGTGAGCCCAATACTACTATTTTCAAAGTGAGAAACACAACCTGGATGCACATGTCTCCTATTCCAGTTATTTGAGAAACTCATATCAAATTCTTACTCTTTCAAAAGCCTCTAAACAACTTTTATAATTTAGGATGGAAAAACCAAGCAGCTAGTCAAATTTAGCATTTAATTCTGAAGAAAAACACTCATGATTTTGATTTTTAAAAGGTTAGGAAATCTCAAGTATAAGAACTAAAATGATCCTAAGTCCGTTTAGACAACGGAAATAGTTTAATAATGCCCTATAACTACAGGCCTAACTGTAGGAATACTTGACAAGCACACATGAATGTAATTCACCTTTTATCTCCTTAATTATTTTGGCTGAAGTATTTTATATTTTCCTAAATGCTCCTAAATCTCTCAAATGAAAATAGTGAATATTAAATAACAAACAAAAGAGCAAACTCGATTTTTTCTTTATTACTAAAGGTTCCCTTAAGAATTTTCTAGCCCTAGCCAGTTTGGCTCAGTGGATAGTGTCAGCCTTCGGACTGAAGGGTCCTGGGTTTGATTCTGATCAAGGGCCCATACCTTGGTTGCAGGCTCCTCCCCAGCCTGGGCCCTGGTCAGGGTGAATGTGAGAGGCAACCAATATGTCTTTTTCACATGATGTTTCTCTCTGTCTCTCCCCCTCCCTTCCTAAAAATCAATGAAAGAATATCCTCCGGTGAGGATTAAAAAAGAATTTTCTATCTGAGGTTATCCAACATCTTAGTTTACATACATATTTAGGAGACATCATGCTTCAACTTCATGACTTGACAGAGGCAGGGATTCTGAGAAACAAGTGGAAGAAAATAAAGAGACTCATCCAAAATTTTTGGAGTAAAAATAAAGATTAAAAGTAACTTTTCCTGAGTGTGTGTGGGAGGGGTGTGCAAAATGGGTGGTGTTCTAAAGGTATAAATTCCCAGTCATAAGATAAGCCCCAGAGGGTAATGTACAGCACGGTGTCTATAGTTAACAATTCTGTGTTGTATATTTGAAAGTTGCTAGGACAGAAGATCTTAAAAGTTCTCATCACAAGGAAAAAAACTGTAACTACCCGTGGTGGTAGATGTTAACTAAACTTACTGTGATAATTACTTTGCAAAATACACATATATCGAATCACTATGCTGTACACAAAAAACTAACACAATATGTCAATTATATCTCGGTAAAGCAAGAAAAATAATTTTCTGAGTGCAAAAATAAATGACCTAACCAACTGGTCTGGCATCAAACATTTACACTGAAATGACTTAGAACAAAATAAACAGTTATTTCAAAATCCTTAATTTCGAGTTACCGATTGCCTGTTTTAATCCTGGCTCTCCCACTAAGTGCCTCACCTCCGCAGACTCAGTCCCTCCTCCACAGAACGGGACAACAGCACCTGCCTCGGAAGGTTATTTTAAGGACATCAGGGGATGAGCACCTGAGGCACTGAGCTCCCCGCCCCAAGCACAGCAAGTGCTCAAGTGTCCGCTCCCAGCTCTCACTTCGCTGCCATCGGAAATCACACAACCGAACCTCGGAACCAAGCAGAAACCGAGGGGTCGCCTCCAGGCCTGACACGCTGGGTTCAGCACACGGACTTTGTAACATCCATTCTGACTGCTCAAAGGTCTTCTTTGTTTTTGCTTACTTCCTGGATCTCGGCTACGTGCCAGGGAGAGAGGTGAGGCCCGAGGACAGCAGCCAAAGATGGGGAGTGACTTTAGACGTGGTCGTTTTTTGGAATCAATCCCGGTAAACGGCATCTCTGCCACCCAGGCCCCGCAGGCCTCCATCTTTCACCGCCTCTGCAACAGTTAAGCTCTAGGATCCATCAGAAGTCACTTCGCGGAGGCCGTGGCGCCAAAAGCAAGCCTTGTCTGGCAAGCCCTTTAAAAAGCGGCCGTTCTGAAATGCTGAGGCTTGATACAGTGCATGAGTCCCCGGCGAGAAGGTCCTTCTGTCTGTCTGTCTGTCTGTCCGTCCGTCCGCCCGCCCGCCCGCCGCCAGCACTGCAGGAGACGCGCACGGGGGCGGGAGTGGCCAGCTCACTGGTGACGTGGAGCGAGGGATCACAGCGACCACAGAGCCAGGCGGTCCCTGCGGGCGCGCGGCGGCCCAGGCCCGTTATTAGATGGGGGCGCTCGGAGTCGGACAAACTGGCGGCTAGCGACCGGTCCATGTCTCAGAGCAGCACGAATGGCCCCAGGAAATTCGTTTGAGCCCTCCCCGCCCTTCCTCCCCGCGACCGGCGCGACCCCGGGCCCGGGAGGTGCGGCGAAGCCCGCCGAACGCCGAGGCCAGGTCGGACCCGGCACCCCAACCCAGAGGCCGGTCCTCCCGGGGCCAGGGTGCGGGCGAGGTGCTCCCTCCACGCCGGCTGCCACGTCAGGCCGGGCCGCCCGCGGTCCTGCCCAGCCTCCTCCCGCCCGCCCGCCCGCCCGCCCGCCCGCCCCAGGGGCTCGCGGGGCCCCGCACCGCCGGACCCCCGCGCGGACCCCCGGGAGGCGCCCCCTGGAAGCCGGGGGCGAGGGCCCGCCGGCCTCCGCGCCACCAGCCAAACTTTCCGGGCACAACAGGGACGCGCGCGGCCGGGGTGGCGCCTCCTCCGCCCCGGCGGCTCAGGTTCAAGTTCGGGAGCGGACCGAGCGCGGAGCGCGGCCCGGCCCCCGCCCCCCGCCCCGCCGGGGCGCCCACCGGCCGAGGGGGTCGCAGGCCGCCGGGCCCGCCGCCCGCCGGGCCGGCCGAGGGGGCGTGTCCGGCCGGCGTAGGCCCGCGGGCCGTGCGGCGGCCGCGGTCGGCGGGTCCTCCCGGGTCCTCCCGGGGACCGGCCCCGCGCCCGAGCCTCCCGGGCCTCGCCCGCCGCTCACCGGCGCAGGAGCGCGTCTTCCAGATCTTCAGCAGCAGGATGACGATGGCCGCCAGGTGGGACAGGTCCCCGGTCAGCCGGAAGATGTTCATGGCGGCGGCGGTCGGCGCGGCGCCCGGGGCTCGGCGGCTCAGGCGGCGGCTCAGGCGGCGGCGGCCCCTGAGAGGAAGCGGCGAAGATGGCGAGAGCGGCGCGACGTGGCCGGGGACGTGGCCAAACTGCCGGCGCGCGCGGGGCAGCCTGGGAAAGCTCGCCCCGCCAGGCCCCGCCCCCGCCCCGGCCCTTAAAGGGGACGCTCCGGGACGCAGGCCGAGCAGAGAGCACCGGCTCCAGGGCTCGCGGCGTAGGATCCCGGGCTTCTCGCCAACTCCCCCTTGCTGGGTTTCCGGCTTCTCCTGGGAGCCAGCGATTTCCTTTTAATTTTTGAAATGACACTCGCTGTGAGTGATTTCTCCCCTCCCTCTAATGGTAAGGGCTCTGCAGGCTTACTGTATGAGAAAGTGTAAGAGAAAAATAAACATTAATCCGTGGTGGCCTCACAGAGGGTAAGGCCGATATTGGGGGTGTCTGGGGAGGGAGCCGCCAGCTCACTTTTGAGGAGGTCAAGATTTTGTCATTCTGGGGGCTCCCTTTGGGAAAGAGAGCAAAATTAGGCGGAAAAGTGAACAACTCTTGGGAGACACGAAATCACAAGCAATTAACAGCAGAATGAAGCAGACAAGCAGAATCTTCTGCATAATTTGAGGGGTCCCCGCGCAGAAACGTGGGATCTCCGGAGGAAAGCAGGGGGAAATGCTGTTCAAGAGACTAAAACAGTAGCTTTCCCCTGTCCTGCGGTCTCTCCCAACTTGGGGTGTTTCCCGTTTGCTATTTACTGCCATTCATTCTCAGTAAAGAAAAAAAAAACTTAAATTGTGATCGTGAGTTTTACCGTTTGTCTTTATATCGGGCAACAGTCAACAGCCTGGGGCCTTTGGGCTGAGGGCAGCTCCTGTGTTGAGCATCTGCCCCCTGGTGGTCAGTGCACATCATAGCGACCGGTTGTTCCCCTGATGTTCTACAGTTCGGTCAATTTGCATATTAGGCTTTTATTATATAGGATTTACTCCATGAAATATATATATATATTTAAAAAATAAGGTAATGACAGCAGTAAACCAGGCATCTTCACCAAAATCACAGCCTCTTAGATTCCCCTTCACTCTTCCAAATCCTCCGTCCTGGGCTGAAGACATGGTAAACGCCCTGGGGGTGGGTGCCAACCACACTCAGCTCAGCTCGGGTCACTTTGTCTCTTTCTCTTGGAGTGCCGGCCCACCACCCTGTCCTTGTCCTACGGGAGCTTCCCCATTAGGAAGTTCCCTTCAAACCTCTTCGCCCAAGGAGCGGCTGTGAGCGAAGAGAGGGCAGTCTTCACGTGGATGGTACCTCACTTTCCTGCCCCAGCTCCCGGCAAGGGGCTCTAGAACCCACCAGCTGGCAGTGGGCTTCTGCTTAGTCCCTGGATGCTCAAAACCCTGGTTGGCCCAGGCAGCTCCTGCAGCAGCCAGGGCCCAGGCCCCCGCTCCCACCACTGCTTTGCGACTGCACGGCCCACGGGAGGCCATGGGGGGCCCAGCAGCCCAGGCACCACACCCCAACCCAGGAAAGACTTGTCCAGGGAAACGGATCCCACACATGGAAGCCTGAGTTAGAGATGGCCGTTTGGGTGATTTGGACGAATCAGGCCAGTTTGGCAGAAACTGTGACATGGCTGACGCGCCTGCGCCAGGCTGTTGACTGGCACAGGCCAGCAGAGATGAGCGCGCAGTCAGACCAGGTCTTCGACCCAGGCCGGCCTCGGGGGCAAGGCCTCACGGGCAAGGCCGCACAGCGCATTTACTAACGAACCGCCGCACACACCACATGTACGAAATGCTCTTTCCTACGTTTTTGTCACTGTACTCTCTTTGGTCACCTCCGCGTGATACTGACTCTGTGTGTGTGTGTGTGTGTGTGTGTGTGTCTGTGTGTGACTATGTGTGTGTGTGTCTGTGTATTGGGATTAACAAGTTTAATAATTCAGAGCATTGTCATTTCTCCATTTTTGTTGCGATCCAATTCCATTAGCTTCAGAGCCGCAACATAGCGATTCAATACATGTACGATGAGGGCGTGTCCAGGGACTGCGGGCTTGCCTGCTCCCCGGGACAGAGCTTTCCAATCAGCGTGGGAACAAACTGCCCAAATGCACACCGTCTCCTCTCATGACTCAGCAGTTCAGCTCCTGATCGGCCTTGGCAGCATCCATTCACACTGCATGTTCCAGAAGCATCACTTGGTCCTCAGTCTGAGGGAAGAGAGCCGCAGTTGGGGACCTGGGTAGGTTGCCTCTCGCACATGCCCAGACCAGGGCCGGGGAGCGGCCTGCATCCAAGGTACGGCCCTTTGACCAGGATGGGGCCCGGGAACCTCCAGTTTCCCCCAGAACACTGCGTGGGGCCCGCCTTCGGTGACCCATCGGGGTGACTTTCCCTAACAAAGGGCGCCTCCGAACAAGGCCACCAGCACCTTCCACCGGCCTGCCGCTGGCCCGAGCACGGCTCCCTCGCTAACACTGGAAACCAGTCAAGCCCCTTCGTGGGGGACACCCCCCCCCCGTACCCCGGAGGTATGAACGCATCCAGTGAGGCAGACGTGTTATTCCAGGGCCTGCAAACTCCCCGCTGGGCTCCCCCGTCACCGAGACCTTTTCTTCGGTTCCCATTGAGCACCTTTGTGAAAGCTCTGAATGGGTTGCCAACGTTTCACATAAAAATCTGGGGTTCTGGCTTCCTTTGCAAAAGCCCGAAGCTGGGGCTCCACAAGGTGTGTCTCCCACGTGGGAGTCCGAGGCCGGAGGGACGGTGGGAGGGCCGGGCGTCCCCCCTGCAGCCGGCACCGCTCCCCAGCTCTCGACCCGGCCCGGCCCGCCTGTCCACGGCTTCTCATCCTCGTCCTGGTGCCCTCACCCCGCCCACGCCCCCTGTCGGCACTGCCTGTCTGGCCTGCAGACTCTCCCTCCGCACGCCTGGCTTAAGGGCCTGGATACCGTGGCCATGCCGTTTCATGGGAAGGAGGCGGCACTCTCGGTAGCTCCCTACCCTGACGTCATTGGGTTTGATTTAACGGCAGTTATTGAGCACTTGTTGTGTGCAAAGTCTAGAAGCAGCGGGGCCCATGGGAAGTCAAGCCGAGGACAGGGTTGGGGGGGCAGACAGCTGGCCGCTGGAGCTGGGCGTGTGAGGGTTTGCCAAGGGAGGGCAAACAGTGCCCGGGAGGCTGTAAGGAGGGCAGTGACGATAGGGACGCAGCCCTCCCGGCAGCTCCTGTCAGGGGCCGGAGCAGGTCCGGGGGTGAAAAGGGAGAAAGCCACACTGCCGGGAGCCAGAGGTGAGCGGATGGCGAGGATGCAGAGGCAGCCGGTGCAGACGACAGTCTGAACAGTTTGGCTCCGGAGGGGGTACCAGCCAAGACTGCTCTAGAGGGTGCGACGGGGAGAGGTTGCTGGGAGGGGAGTCAGTGGGGAGTGAGCCGAGGCCACTAGTGTGCTGAGATGCCTGAGGGTTCGGGGGCAGGAACGCAGCACGGACAGAAAATGAGCAGCTGGCAAGGCCTGAGCAGCCGGAGGAAGGCGAGGGCAGGAGCGTGGGGATGAGCGGGTGGGGGAATTTAAAAAAGAGCTATAAGGGCTTTATGTCAACGCCACCAGCACTCACGGGCCTTGGAACATGACTGTTAAAATCTAAAAAGCATAAAAAATATGTAAAGCAAAACAAAGACGATATTTGCACTCAGAGGATGGGCTTTGGATTTAGACGGAGCCGCGAGTTCAACCGGGCAAGTCACATGACCGTCCTGCGTGTCAGACGTTTTATCTGTAAAAGGGGCTAACAAAGCCCACCGCAGAGGGTCCCTGTGGAATGGAATGGGATCTGTGGAAACACCGAGCACACGGCCTGGCCACCACAGCCGATGGCGGGAGAGGCGATGCAATCAGGCTGTGACTCCCTTCGCGCGAGTGAGAGACCAGGGAATCCTGGGGCGAAGGCGCTTGCCTTCCCATCATGCTGTCGGGTGAGGAGCTGGTGGGGGATAGGGTGCCCCTATGGGCTCACCTGTCGGGCTTTGTCCCGACTCAGGTGCAGAGCCACCATGAAATACAGCCCTAGGGAGCCACATGTGGAGAGGCTGTTCCATACGATGTGGGCACCCAGCATCGCCCTGGCACCCACATCGCCCTGGCACCCACATCGCCCAGGCACCCACATTGCCCTGGCACCCACATCGCCCTGGCACCCACATCGCCCGGGCACACAGGAGGCAGTCCAAAGGTGTTGGCAAATGCATTTATGGAGGAAGAGGGTTCGCTGAGAACATGAAAAGGCCCAGTATCTACAGCCACCTGCGGACGGTGTGTTCGGCAACACGCTTCGTGTTGCAAGGGACAGGACCCATTCAACCCAGCCTGAGCCAAAACGTTAAAATAAAATTTAGGAATTTACAAATGGAGCAGGGGGAGGGGCACCACGGTTACAAATGGTCTTGGACACGGACAAGTCCAGATCCTGCTTCAGGCATGGCTGGATCCAGGGACAAGGAGGTGTATGGAGCGGTCTCCCTTCTGCTCTCCAGCACTGGCTTCCCACCCAAGCAGGCGCACAGCAGGGGGAGGTGCTGAAGACTCCCCCCAGCCTGCCACCCTCTCTGCGCCCAGCAACTCGCCCCGAAGCCTCCCTTTCCAAAAGGTCTGACTCCAGCATTGGATTGACCCTGAGCCACCGGCCAGAGTCCCGAGACCCCCCCTTATCCAGTCAGCATGGCTCCTGGGCGTGGCAGAGGGGGAGGGATCGTTTCCCAGAGGAACACCAGGGCCCCCCCTCCCCCCAGCAGAAGGGACACTGGTTTCCAGGCAGGCACGAGCTCTGCTGCCCCTGGACTGAGTGAGAGTGGAGGGGACGGGCCCTCGGGTGACTAGGTAAGTGGGAGCGAGAAGCACGCCACCTGGAGGAGGACACGGGACAGAGGGTAACGAGAGCCGGGCTGGGTCCAGGCGGGACCAGCCACAGAGGAG